TTATGTATGGCACGCCGTTTTACTTTTTAATGTCATGTTTATTAAAGCTAAATATTAATTCAAGTTGCGTTTTTAAAAATTGACTGAACATCTTAAAGTAAAAATTTTATGATGTCTTGGTATATTAAGTACACAATTTTAAGCACAGAATAAGAATTAAAGTAATTTTAATTCTGGAACTGAATGGCGTATTTTCTGACTAAAAAATTCGATGAATTAAAATTTGGATTGAGATAATTTTAATAAGGCGCTACTTGAGAAACACGCAGTCAAATTGAAATTATGTAAACCAAAACTTTAATTCATCGAATTTCTTAGCCAGTTAATTAAAGGTGCGCGACATTTATTTAAGAAAAAGTAATACTGAAATTACCATTATGTCGCATTTAATTTCTATTATTAGTCGTCGACATAAAAATCAATAACCTTTTAGAAATTAAAGTGATAAAGTTTCTTATTCGACACACAAATATTTTGCACGAAATATTTGTTTTAATATTTAAATGTTTTTAAGATTACTTAAAATTTTATTTGACTAATAAGAATTGAATACAATTTTATTTTTATTGTTATTTTTAAAAAAATTAATATTTACTTTTAATACGAATTATTTTGTTGTTTAAAACTTTGAAACAATTTTTATATGGGAATAAAGTTGTGGTATAGTTGTTATTAATTATTATGTTATTTAAATCTAGCAATACGAATTTTCATTTAAGAATCTTTCTGCCATATTTCTTTTAATCCGATTATTTTTTTAGATAATAAATTCAATGCTATTTGTATGTGACAGAATAATAATTCCTTATTTTTATTTTTTGGAATAAATATTATGTACCTCGAATTTTCTGACTGAAAAATTCGATGAATTAAAATGTTGGTTAGCACTCGTAAACAGAATTTTAATTTGGCGCTAGTGCATATTACGGTTGTGTTACGTACTACTGCCACCAAGCGAAGGTACATGAGGTCGTAAATAAATTAGGCAACGGTGCATTCAAATAAAAATAAAGAAAATCCTTTTTACCAAAATATTGGTTTTTAATGACTAAAATATAAAAAAACAATACAATATTTTCAATCCATCATTAATTACATTCATGTTAAGTTTGTGGATTATTTTTAATTACGTCTTATATTCTTTTTCTATGCTTATTACTGTACAGGTAGTCGGCTCGGACACGTAACGAGTAGGACAATTCTGGTAATTATATAAATATCTTCTTCTGCGAGAAATCCTATTGCATAGACAACTAAGCAAATAATGAACCACAATTAAATTGTCTATTAGGAGAGTCTGAAATCCATATCTAAATTATTTCGTATAAAGTGAGGTTAGGCAGCAGGGCAGTCTTGTTAAAATGCACCCCTTACATAATTTAATAATCATTATCATGTCGATATACATTTAAAGTATTACATTATTGATAGCACTGAAAATTTTGGACTGCACTGTTGTCTAATTTATTTTCTAGCTTACCTTCGACGTTATGTGGTTTCGTGGCAGTAGTACGTAACACAACCGCACTATGCACTAGCGCCAAATTAAAATTCTGTTTACGAGTGTTATCCAACATTTTAATTCATCGAATTTTTCATCGAGAAAATTCGCCTTGCGCTTACAGATTTAAATCTTGTCTAATTTTTATTCCAAAATAAATATTCTCCTTTAACTTAATTTTAAATTAATAAATAAAATATTATTTTACATATACCTAAGCACCTTTTTTAAATAGAAAAAAAATATTCATACAATAAAAACTGAGGCTTAAAAATATAGATCACACCAGAATGATGTAAATATAATATATATATATATATATATATATATATATATATATATATATATAGATAAGTGGTCAGCTGTGACCTCCGTTAAGTTGAGAGGGCCACCTCTCCTCCGGGTCTGCGGAATGGACGATTTTTATTTTGATTGCATATATTGCGGGGGGGAGCCTTAAATATTAACGCCACCACAAGAGGGGAAGCAATTTTTAATTTTTTAAAATGTCAATTTTTTTACGCAAACTGGAGATACTCAAGATACAAAGTCACCTCCAAATATATATATAATTTCGGAGAAACAAACAGCCCTGTATCCTCCGACAGTGTTGCCGGATTTTCGGAGGTCGCAACGTATCTTTAGTATCTGGGATATATATCAGATTTATTTTGTCCACTGCTTCATGCTATATGTGCCATACATTATTTAGTAATAATAATATTTAGTATTATTTTTGTTATAAAAGACAAAATATTAAAAATAATAAAAATGGAATATTTTGAAATAATTTATTTGATTTAAAAAAGAACGTATTGGTATAGGTTTTATTACATGTAAAAACTTTATTTATCGTGCGATTTTTCCAGATTTGTTTTAAAGGTAAAATCTTGATAAACTGTATTTTTGAAGCAAAAACGCCATATTTTTACTAAATACAAGGCCTACTATGTCAGTTTTTAAGAGTTAATTTTTAAGAATTCATATTAGCGATTTTTTTAAATTAAATCTAAGCACGGCACTGGATTCACCACCCCTTAAAATTACCTTATACTAAATTATATTAAAAATGTAAATAGAAAAATATAGAGAAATATTAACTACAAAAATTTATTTTGTCAAGTTATACATGAAAAAATCATTGAAATAAAATTAAACTAATAGTATAACATAGTATACTTATTATAAGTTTAATTTTATTTCAATGTTTTCTTCATGGATAACGACAGACAGAATAAATTTTTGTAGTTATTGTGCATTTTTCTACTTAAAATTTTTTAATAAAGTTTAGTAAAGGGTCGTTTTGAGGGGGTGGTGAATCCAGTGCCGTGCTTAGATTTTGTTTAAAAAAATCGCTAATATAAATTCTTAAAAAATTACTCTTAAAAACTGACATAGTAGGCCTTGCATTTTGTACAAATGTTTTTTGCTCCAAATATACAGTTTATCAAGATCTACACCTTAAAACAAATCCGGTTAAAATCGCACAATAATTAATGATTTTACAGGGGTGAGTTGTAAAAAAATGGGTCACATTGTATATGTACTGTTTTGCTTGCAAGTGGTTTTTTAAAAACTTTTCAAACCGATTGACTTTTGAAAGAATTATTAATATTATTATTATCAATAAGTTTTGTTATTTTAATATTTATTAGTAGATATTATTATTATTTTTAATATTTCAATTGTATTTTTGTAATATTTTTATTTTTTCTAATTTTTTTGTTATTTTAACTATTTTTATTATAATTATTTTTTTGTTAATATTTTTATTACCTAGGTATCTACTTCAATTATTTATATTCCTTTTACAATCTTCATTATTTTTATTTATTTTTATTTAGTTTTATTGTATTATTTTAATTGTTTTATTAATATTATTTTTATTTATAATTTTTTAAAATTAATCTTATTGTTATTATTTTTATTAATTTTTCTAATAATTATTATACCCAATCATTTTGAATATATTTATTAGTATACTTTTTATTATTTTTATCAATTTTACTTTTTTAATTATTTCTTTATTTCTAATATTTTTATTTTTAATATTTTTGATATTTTTATTATTATATTAATAAAAATATAAGAAAGAAATTTAATTAAACAATAAATAGGGATAATTAAAAAACATAAGTAAAGTAAAACATTTTTATCTATTAAAATAGTTATGAATAATAATTATTATAATTATAATTATCATAAGGGTAACTAATTAATGTTTTTTTACGTTTTTCTTAAGGTGTTGGACTTTGGCTTTAATAAGGGATACACTTCTTTTTATTTTCGTTTGTTCTAGAAAAGATTTAATTTCTTTGCTAGATGAATAAATATTTTTTTAATATGGTTAAGGAATTTATCCTTAATTAACCCGATTTCCATATTTGTGCAGCCTAAAAATAATAACACATTTTTAAACAAATAAAAGTGAAAAAAGATTGTGTGAGTAAAAAATATTGTTTAAACTTACTTTTTTTGTTTAAATTTTTTATCTTTTTTGGTAATGATTTTATCATTACTAGTATTGTCTAAACCTAAAAGAAATATTTTACAATATCCATTTCTATAAACATAATGCATTTACCTAATTATGTACTAAAAACTTACTTACCTTGAAAACCGACTATCTGGATTATTAATTAAGTCCTGGAAGATATATTTTTAAATTAAATCGTTATTTTACACTTAAGATGTTAGAACAAAAGCGAAACTGCGTAACAAATAACATATAAGAAGTATTAAAGATCATCAAGTCTGAACATCTATGTCTGCGCGAGATATTGCAAGGTTGCCAAATTTCGGAGGTAACAAATGTACGTATACATGACGGAGGTAACTTTGATGTGGCTGAATCTGATTAAAAAGCGACACTAGCGCCAATTCATATATGGTGGAACTAAAAGTTCCTTTTTAAGAGACTGGGGGGTCAAAGTGACCTCCGAAATATTTTTGCACAAATTGATTACTGACACTCCCCCAATGTCAAAAATATGGTTAAACACTGTGACCTCCGAATTTGGAGGTCACAGCGTCATATATGAGGTCACAACGTATGAAGGGTCTCCGTTTTGGAGGTGACAATGTACCCTTTATCAATATATATATATATATATATATATATATTATATGGAAACTTATCCAATACACCAAAAAATAAATTGGTAGATTTTAATTTATAATTAAATTTAATTTAGTAATTTTTATGAACGTTTATATTTTCTAGGCAATTTTTAATTTTGATAATTTTTGTTTTGAGTTAATTTTTTGATGTCATTAAAAAGTAAAACGGCATGCCATAGTTATGAAATAACCGAATTTTTATAAATAAAATTTTTGTAGAAACGTTAGTTTATTGGGATAAAACGACGAAATATAAACTTGCATTTTAAACATTATTATTGTAGCCGTTTTTTCTTTTTTTAATCTGCAAAAAATGGGTTACATTTGTAGTTGTACTCAATAATATTTTAAACGAGCTTTATTGTTTTGTATACTTTAGGCAATTACTGTGAAGGTCCAGAAGTTCAGACTCTGGAGGCCCTATTGCAAGCTTTCGACGAAGAAGATCCTGAGAATGCCAATCGGGCTTTGAACAGTCCGTTTATTAAACACATGGATGTCGAGTATGCTATTTTAGCTCGCGACATGCCTCTTCCCCAGGGAATGTCCGTTCCTCAAAAGGTATCCGTCAGAGAAAACGCTGCACCCTCCTATGTTTCTCCCAATTCTCAGCCAAAGGTAAATAAATAATCCTTTTTTATATTAGATTACAGCCATTCCACGCTACTCGGGAATTTTCGTAGAGTCCGTTACAATCAAAAATTGTGAGTAAAACTACCGTAATTATTACACAGTACGACAAAATTTGATTTTCTTTCCTCCCATGAAAAATTTCTATAGATTTTGAAAATACACTTAAAAAAATGATACCCGTGTCTCGGCGTTTTTTCAGATCAGGTCATTTTTTTAAGTGAGATCCAATATAATGTTATCCACGGTATTCGGCACATAATAATAATAATAATAATAATAATAATGTTTATTAATTAATTACTTTACAAATGTTTAACAATTAGTAGCCAAGAAAGTAATAAACATGAATGCAATCATTGAAGCATACTTTGGTAAAGTATACTTGTAGGTACATGATATATAATTAATGCATATAACCACACAACTAAAAAGTAATATTCACTAAAACACAAACAAAAAACATAATAATACTAAAATTAATTCAAATTAATAACTAAAACTATATATGTAAATATAAGTTACAATACAAATGTTAAAAAACATAAATAATATTTGAATAAATATACAAGTTAAATAAATAAATAAATAATTAATGGGTTGTACACACCATTAAGATAAATTATTTTGATTTATATAATCATTTATGACTTTTCTAGGGGAACTCAAAATCCAGTTTTTTAATTCTTTTTTAAAAAATTTACTAAATGTTATGTCTTTCAAATTTTGCGGCATATAGTTATAAAGTCTAGGAGCAAGGTAAGTATAATTTCTTTGACCAATACTTTTTAAAAAAACTGGCTTAATACAAGTAAAGTTTTTATTTCTTGTTGAATATTTATGTTGAGATGTTTGTATATTTCGATCGTTGCTACAAAAGTTTATTAGGGTTTTAAAACAAAACATTTGTCTAACATCAAAGACTTTACTTATGTGAAAAAGCTGATCGCTTGAAAACAATTTATCTTTGTCAAATATAATTCTTAATACCCACTTTTGAATTATGTTTAAATTATTTAAATAACATTCATTTGCTCCACCCCATCCTAATATTCCATAAGAAATATGAGACTGTATAAGAGAAAAATAAATGGACATTAATTGTCTTTGTTCCAAAATAGGTTTTATTTCCCTAAGAAGTGGTAAAATACTTCTTGTTTTTTTTACAACATTGTTAATATGTAGATCCCACTTAAAATGGCGATCTATGGTTATACCTAAGTATTTTATTGAAGTTGCTTCTGGAATTTCACTTTTTTGATCAATCTTTAGTGTACCAAGGTTGGGTAAATGATTCGAGTATGATGTAAATGGCATATAAAAGGTTTTTTTATAATTTATAGTTAGCAAATTAAAATCCATCCATTTCTTAATTTTTTTGAATTCGTTTTCAGCAATACACTTTATGTTTTGCCAACTATCTGCTTGAAACAGTACAACGGTATCATCTGCAAAACTCAAAAGTGTACCCGAACTTATATGCATTGACAGCAAACTGTTGATATATACTAAAAACAACAGTGGGCCCAACACCGTTCCTTGTGGTACACCAAATTTTATATGTCTGGGTGCGCTGGTATAACTGTCAATGGCCGTAAATTGCATCCTGTCTTTTAGATAACTTTTAATAAGTTCCAGTGCGTTTCCCCTAATTCCAATTGACTCAAGTTTTTCTAACAGTTTTTTATGGCATACTGTGTCAAATGCTTTTGCAAGGTCTAAAAAAATGCCCAGTGTTGGCTTACTTTGATCCATTCCTTTGTACACATAATCAGTTAGTTTGGAAATTGCGTGTTCTGTTGATAGACCGTTTCTAAATCCAAATTGCAAATCTGACAATACTTTAAACTTATTTAAATATTTGACAAATCTGTTTTTTATTATTTTCTCATAAATTTTTGCAATATTTGAAATTAAAGAGACAGGTCTGTAGTTTTCAATTTCCAGTTTATTTCCATTTTTATAAAGTGGTTTTATTAACCCTATTTTTAGAACATTGGGAAAGTATCCTATTTTTAAGGTTTTGTTTATTAAATATGTTAGGGGACCGACAATTTCTTCAGTTATATGTTTAAGGCATTCGGATTTAATTTTGTCATAACCTGGAGCTTTATTATTTTTTAAGGATTTAATTGATTTACTTACTTCTATTTCACTTGTAGGAAATAGAAACATTGACTTTGAATTGATACTTAAAACTTCTTGAAAGTCTTCAGGAACTTTAATTTTTCTGGAGTACTGATCTCCCAAATCACTGTAGTAATTGTTAAAAATATCCGCAATTATTTGTTTATTTTCAGTAGATGAGTTTTGTGTTATATTGATTTTGTTTATAGCAGTTTGCTTAGTTTTTTTTCCACACATGTTGTTAACAGTATTCCAAAGATTTTTTGAACTGTTTTTATTATTGTGTATCATTTTTTTATAATAATCAATTTTGGTTTTTCTAATAATTTGAATTAATTTGTTTTTAAAAATTTTATAATTTTGTTCCAAATCTGTATTATTGGGTTGTGATAATGTCTCCTTATATAAATTATTTTTTTGGTTAATTAATTTTAAAAGTGCCTTAGTTACCCAAGGTTTTTTAGGTTTTTGGTCCCTTTTAACTTTTATTCTCGTAGTGTGTTCTGATATTTTAAATTTGAGTTTATTGATAAACGTTTCTGTTATTTGGTCAACGTTATTTCCTAAGTATATTTCCTGCCAATTTTCTGTTTTTAAATCTGATTTTAGGTTTTTGTAGTTAATGTATTCTTTATAATTTAAATTGTTGTAATTTTTTTGAGTCATAAAGTGATCGACAGGTAGTAATAATATAATTGGGTCGTGGTCCGTAATATTTTCTCTATAGATAATTGGCGTAATATCTTCTGTATTAATGGCTGAGGTGTTTCTTATGAAGTAGTGATCCAGGCATGATTCCTGTGTCCCTTGTTTTCTAGTGTATTTATTAATATATGATACATAACCAAACGTACTAAGTAGGTTTAAATATTCATTACTTACTTCATTTTCTTTTAATAAACATATATTTATATCTCCTGTTATTACATAATATAACAGATTCGATAACAGCTAGACAGTATATTTTTATGAAAAATTTATTCACTCAATAAATGGACAACCATTAAGATTATTTATTTATTTTAAAATTATTTTAATTATATACAGGGTGTTGCACATTTACGAAATACGCGTGTTTCACGTTCGTGGTCCATTGCGAGTTTCTAAGGAACGGCAAAAGGTGTCGATTTGAAATTTTTAAAGCGTTATAATCCAATTAAGCCTATTTTTCTAAAATATTTTAAACGGTCAACCCGAAAGGGGCATAAACTTCGTTATTTTAAATGGAACACCCCATATATTTTTACATTTTTAAATTCTACACATTGAGTAAAATTACTCTACCATGTCCTATACCTAGAGTAAATAGTTTTGAAGTTATGATTTTTTTCCGTTAAAATATGACAAATGCGCGTCAATCAAAAAAAGCCTATTACTTTCTTGCTATTAGGTTTGCAGAAATGGGGGTGGAATTTTTGGAATCTTAAAACATTGCTTAAAATATTCCATGTTAATGTCTTAACATACCGGGTGTTACATTTAAAATAAAAAAGTTATTAACGTTTCAAGTTAGCCCAATTTGCCCTGGGGTTTCTCGGGTAATTTGTTGAAAAATGTTAAAGAATCGACATGGAATTTTTTAAACAATGTTTTAAGATTCCAAACATTTTACCCCCATATCCGTAAACCTAATAGCAAACATCTAGAAAACTATTCACTTTAGGTATAAGACATCGTAAGTAATTTTACTCAGAATTGTATGTAGAATTTAAAAATGTAAAAATATATGGGGTGTTCTATTTGAAATAACAAAGTTGATGTCACTTCCGGTCAAACCGGAAGTTGCATTTTGTTCAAAATATTTTAAAAAATATACTTAATGGATTATAAACGCTTTTAAATTTCAAATTTATATTTTTTCCGTTCTCCAGAAACTTCCAATGGACCACGAATGTGAAACACCCTGTATATCAAGTGGTGTTTTTAGGTTGTAATACCACTATAGATTCGAAAGCAATGTAGAATTGTCAAACTAAAAGATCAAGATTTGTTTTCAACTTTTTCAACGTTTTCAAATTTAATATAAGATAAATACAAATCTGTTGTTTTATTAAAAAAAAATCAAAAATTAAAACCAGAAATATTTTTTTTACTTAAAAAATAAAATTGCTATTTAGTATAATTTTTGTATTATGTAAGAACATAAAATATTTGAAGAAAAAAAAATGATTTATAACAAAATAGAGAATTAAAAATCTGTTTAGGTTAAAATAATAAGAATGGCTGTGTAAAAAAATTAAATGACGTGATTTCGTGAAACTGTGAGACACGGGCACGTTTTTTTAACCTTTATTTTTAAAATCTGTTAAAATTTTTCATGGGAGGAAAATCGTGTTGTACTGTGTTTAACACAGTGTGTTATGCTTATAAGTTTAAGCCTAATTATTACAAGCATAATAAACATGTTTACAATATTAACTATTGTAGCAGTATTTAATTTAATTACGGTAGCTTTTAATCACAATTTTTTATTGTAACGGACGCTACAAAAATTCCCGAGTAGCGTGGAATGGCTGATTACTAACTTATTTTGAATAAAATCATCGTTCATAAAATTTTGTTAAAAGTAATCTCTTTTATTAACCTTAGCAACAATTTAATTAGTCAATTTTCTATTTATACATACATGTTTAAAATTTTTAGTCATAGGTTTAAAATTTTACAAAAATATAAAATTCATTATATAAGTAAGCATTTTTGTATGGGGTTTTGACATTCTAAATTTATTTATTAACGTTCTTTAAGGTCCCTGATTGTTTTGCCAATATTTTCTCTTTTACATGGCTAATTATTTTTTTAGGAAATGTCTAATGTCGGTTTTTGAATCTATATTCTTCAAATGTAATCAAGTTTTTAAAATTGCATAACAAAACATACAGAAATTATAAGTGTAATATACAAATTTAATTGTTTGAATATCAAAAAAAACTTTTTTTTAAATTTTTTCAAAACAAACGCCAATTGAGCAAAATAATTTCCCTAGAAAAGTTGTTGGCTCCCCTGTAGTAGAAGTCGAGAACTATCGATAGTCGTTGCCATCGATAGTCGGAAATGGAACTATCGATAGCTATCGATAGTTTTTTTAAATATTTATCACCGAAATAATGCGAAAATAGATGCAGTGAAATATTATGTTTTATTTATAATTAGGTAAGGTTTTTTAAGTAGCTCATGAGCTCAGGCGGGCTTGGTTAGTGCCTAAAATTTTATATTAAACCAATTTACATTTCGAAATAATGTGGCACTAAAAAATTTTGTTCTTTTATAAATAAATACACATTTAATTGCTTCAACACACCATATTTTGTTTTTGTTATTTAAATATTGAGTTAGAAATGTGGCAATGGACTGGTGGTCTTGCAATTACCGTTTTTCTAAACCCAAGAAAATAAGACGCGCCAAGAGATTGTCACTGACATGTATTTGTTATGTGAACTTAAAAAACAGGACAGAAAACTATAAATCCTTTTTGTAAATTTTTATTATTATAAATTATTTACTATCAAACTTTCGATAGTAAAGAAAAACTTTCGATAATTTTCGAGAGGCAAAAACTATTGATACCCTATCAATACTTCTCGACCTCTACCCTGTAGCAAACAATTTTTTTAACCAATTAGTAGATGGAATTAAAAAATGATTATTTTTTCTACAATTTTAGCAAAATTTATTATATTGCAAAACCAAAAAATATTAAAAAATACCAACAAACAAAGCATGAAGTGTTTAAAGTACTTTTTTGGTGTTAAGGAATATTTCTGATATTTGTTAAAAGCTTAAACATTTTGTGGACAACTAATTATTTATCATTAAAAAAGTATGTATCAAACCGAATGCGTTAAAATTAGAAACTAAACCGCGCTCTAAAGAAAAGCACTCTAGCACAGTATACAGGGTGTCCCAAAATTAAGAGCCAAACTTAAACAGTGCAGTCTATGTATACATAGAAAAAAACATTTTTTTAATAAACGTGTATCAAAAAATGCCTTCTAATGGAACTACAACGCGTACCATTTGGGGGGTCGAGGTACAAAAACAGCCCCAACTTTATCTGGGTTAATGTTTTAATTTCCACTTAAAAAAATACTCTGGATTTTAAAAAACATTTAATATGGTTGCTACTAATATTTAATGAATATATTAGTTGGGTATGCTACACACATTAAATTATAAATGCATTTTACTCGAAAATGGTGCATCTGAGCGATGCAAATCAGGATTACTTTTTAATTCCACTAGAAATTCAAAATTTGTATTGCACAACATAATATTTATCATTAAAACTGCACAAATATTCATTTTTCGATACATGTTTATTAAACAAACTATACTACTTTTTTCATGCAGATTGCAGTTTAATTTTGGCCCCCTAATTTCGGGACACTCTGTATAGATTTAATAGTGAGAGCAAAATAAGTATGTACGTTCTCTTAAACTGTAAATACAAACTTTTTATTTTTTCTACAATTATAAGTTTAAACAAATGTATTATTATAATTTTTAGGAGAAGGAATCTGCTGAAGAAAGCAGTGAACCTCCTGATGCAAAAGAACCAAGTGACGACGAAGAAGGAGGCGGACTTTGCTAAAAACTCATTACTTAAAATGTTTTATTTATTGCTTTAATACAGTCACTTTAATTTTAAAGTATGTACATGTATATATTTACATTTTAAAATAGCATTCCTAATTACATTTCAATTTGGATATAGCAATATTTTGTAATGCTTAGTTTTTAAAGTATTGTTGTATATTGCCATATTTTCTATACAATTGTTACTAAGTTGTAATACAAAGTATGAACGCATTTAAATAGACATTTTCAGGCCTAATTATTAAATAAAATATTCACTAAAGTGTAATGCAATGCCTGGAATATAATAGGAAGTTATATGTTCATGTTAAAAAATACACTAATTAAATTATTACACAACTTAGTGATTATTTTGTAGGTGATATGATTATTGTGATTTTATTATACTTAATATTTATTTGAATAATGCAAGAGTATATATGTAATTGTAAACTCAAATAAAAATTAGAATATTCGATTTTTTTTTATTTGAATCAAAACACTTGTCCCAGACAAATTGTTTTCATAAGTTTTCGGGGATTTACCGTATTGCAAAGTTTCCATTTATTAAAATTTTTGAAAAATTAATCCTCTTAAAAAACTTTTCGACCAATTATTTTTTCCTGAAATTTCAAATCTCCACAACGATTTTGGCCATTTACATAGATTTTCCCCCTAAACCTACAATTTAGTTACAACAAAACGTTTTAAACATATAAATAAAATAAATCATGTATGTTAATGTTAAAGCTTATACATAATATTATATTATATAGTGTGCAAAATAGGAAGAAATCTTCTTGTAAACAGGTCAGCAAATGGCCCCTAAGAAAGCTGCAGCCTGCTGTCCCTGAATATGATTTTTTATTATTATTTCTGAAACAGTTTGAAATAAAATAAGCAAATTTTGTATGCTTAGTTAACTTATGCTGAATTAAAAAATAACAAACAAATTTTAAATTATTATTTATTATTAAATAGGGTATTTTTAGCCCCAAATTTTTTGTTTGCAAGTTGGTTGTGGAATATAAAAATTTAGAGTTTTCCACATAAAAAATATACTCCTGTTAAATATCGATAAAATGTACCATTTTCAAATAAAAATAAAATAACAATTTTTAAAAAAAGAATTGTCTTTTCTTTTTCAATGTAATATATTTAAGAAGAAATATTGATACATATATTTCCGGAAAATACATTTTATATCAAACCGTTTCGGAATTAATACTAATAAAACACGATAAAACATCTTCAGGAGCGCCCCTTTATGGGCTCTGTATGTCCCTTAAGGGCCATTTGACGCGTCCTATGCCATTTGTCGCGACCTATGTTCATGTAATATTTTCTTTCTATTTTTGGCCCTAAAAACAGCTTTTAGATTATTGCACACTATCTAAATATATAGGTAAATATAAAATAATTGAAAGTTGGCAACCAACATCTAATATATTATAAACAACCCTTCTTTATCTAATTAATAAAAAATAAAAGCAAAATAATATATAAAATAATATGAAAATAAAAAGTACGTAAAGGTATAAACATGTATGTTTATTTAGACATTAATTAGAAGTAAAAATTAAATAGTTAAGGCATTTTTGCTTAACAGGGCAGGCTGCACTTATACCCCTTTTATTCCAAGGCCCTTAATAAATTATAATAATTTTATTAAAATACTTTTATAAACAAATTAAAAAATAATAACCAGGTCTAATTTACTACCTGATAAATTATAATCCTCAACCATGGTTTAAATAAAAAGAAAGTCGTCATATTTGAAAGCTTTTTCCGTTGCTTTACTGGCTAAACAACGACATTTGTATTCAAAGTTCGTGTTTTATTTGAACAGTTAAATAAATTAAAATCTCTATCCACCCAATTCATATTTTAAAAAGTTTTTACTAAATATACATACATTGAATCTCACTTATTCAAGTGATTTAGTGTGGGTTAAAAACGATTTTTACATTAAATTAAAACACGTTTTTGTGTACCTTTATTTTTTTTGCAGTACTGTACAATTACGTAATATTACGTAAATATTTATTTAATATTAGGTTTTTTATCAATTTTGTCAATTTAATTTTTTTTCCTCCAATACATTAAAATTCACATTTGTTGAATATTTTTTCATGATTTCTTAAAAATATTTCTCACTAGCAAATTGTATTCTCCCAAAAAATATTCACTTCGCTGGCTATAGCTTATAAAGAAGACATTTCAGTGTCCAGTAACTCTTAATCTTGAGATTGACTTGGTGGGGCCTCTTTTGTGTACCCAAAACCGCTGTACTTTCAACCTTGAGGCAAATCACTGAAAAATTATGAATTATTCTTACAAACTCTCTTGTAGATGAATTTTTCATTTTTCTTTTAGCAAAAAGGCTTATTTTTGGTCCTTAAATTGCTGTAGTAAAAATTAGAATATTAAACATTTTTTATTTTTAATGTGAATGAAAAAACTTTTGCCCCAGGCAAATTGTTTCCACTTAGAAATTGTATCTATTTTTAATAGGATTGTTTAATTTTTTAAATCATAAATAAAAATACAATTAAAATAATATATTTTAATATTGTAATATACATTCATGAAACAATATTAATTCTCCAATACAACTATGTTTATTTTATTTATTAAGGCTTTTAATGTCAAAAATTATTTATAGTAAAATAAATCAATATAAAATATATCTTGATATGTAATATTAATATAAAAATAATCATAAATAGTTAAAACCATATTAGGAATAAAGTTAAACTTGTATATAATAAAATATTTGTAATCACATTACAACAGCAATTTTTCTAACATGGACAGTATTGTAGTTTAATATAAGTTTTAAATAATTTTATTAATATTTTGTACTTACACAATATTAATTATTATCTCACAATATAAACTCAAAAGTACAATAGCTAAAACGAAAAAAAATAAAAACAAGTTATAATAAGAAATATTACTGTAAGTACAATTTACAGATAATAAAAGAATGTGTTTTTTTATTTAAAAAGGAATTTAACGACTACTTATTTAGGCTTTCCCATAGTTCATCATCTCCCCACTTATTGTCCCAAGCTGCTTTGGGTTTTTGTTCCTTCTCCTTTGACTCTCCACGTTTTTTCTCCTTTTTACTGGATCTATGACTTTCCTCAGGACTCGTCGGGTTGCTATTCGTAAATTCTCTGCTATCTGTCTGATATCCCTGAGCTTCATTTTGGTAGCCCCAACTTCCATCCCAATTTTGGTTTGGAGATTTTGGACTTGAAGCCCTGCAAAAAATAATGGTTGCAGAAAATGTTGAGATATTTAGGAATATCTGTAAAATTAATATCTAAATAAATTCAAAATAAAATATCCCCCCTTTTAAAGCAAAAAATATTAAAAAATTCATAAACAATATTTTTTACTTACTTGGAGCCCTGCTGGCTGCTATTACTCCAATCTTCTTCACGCTGGAATCCATTACTGCTTACCAATGAAGATCTTTCACCTGGAGATTGGTAATTTTCACCACCAACTTGTCCATATCCAGAAGGACTAAAATCGCCGCCATCATTTATGCCACTTACTTCTTTCCAACCTTTTTTGCCCATTTCACCTAACTGTTGGGTTATAAAAAAAAGAATAAATTTCATGAATTTTTTCCGTTTTTGGTTTATTGTAAATTTTGAAAAAGTCGATTTTTAATAATCTTTGTTATTAACACATGCAAAATAACGTTTTTCGTGACTGATTAAAAAATATTTTTTTTTTGTAAACAAAAATGAATATTTTTAATCCCAAAGAAGGGGTTGCCAATAAAGTACGTCACACTTTGCGAAATCGCACAGTGCAGTACAAAAATAAATTATTATAACTTTCACTTAGGCTTAAAAAAAATGCATAACTTTGCATAGACTGGCAATAACCCTAAATATAATTTTTTGAAATGATTATTATTCAGTTATAATACTATAAAATATATTGGTGTTATATAATAATTTATATGAAATAAAAATATTTGTCCAAAAATATTTATGGTATCCACAATCCTGTGAACAAAAAACAAAACAACCTTTTTTTCGGTTAATAGGAATGCACAAACAAAATTAAATTGAGATATTCAATTACTGCAATAAAAATCCTATCCTATAGTGACATAAACTGAACAAAAAAAAACATAAGAATAAAATTTTGTTTTACTTCTAACACAAAAGTTAATTGATTTTTATTTTAAAGATGTTTTTTGACAGTTCTTTATTTTTTTAATTTATTTTTTGAATATTTTTAATAAAATGACATTAAAAAGTTGTACTTATTTTTTAACCTTTTACACTATATACACTAAAAAAAAGCATATTTTTTTAAAAATAATTTAATTATTGATTTTTGTCCAAAAACCCTACTCTCTAAAAATGAATTAATCAAAACTGACTAATTTAATAGTTATTAGTGGCTGCTTTTTTACTTGTACCATGGTTAACCATGGAATACCATGGTATACAAAAATTTAACACCCAATTATTATGTAAAATTGTCCCCTGAATCCGAAAATACCGTCAACAATTATGAAAGTGGAGCAGTTTTTGAGATATAGTCAATTCCATATTAAATGGAAAATTGACTATATTTTAAAAACTGTTTTACTTTTTTAACTTTTGATGACATATTCGGATTTAGGGGATAATTTTACATAAAAATTGGCTGTTAAATTTTGGGATACCATGGTATTCCATGTTTGACCATGGTACAAGTGAAAAAGCAGCCACTATTAACTATTAAATTAGTCATTTTTAGAGAGTATTTTTGTCCGTACTGTGCATCGTGTGCTATAAAAATGATATTGTGCGTGGCCCGAGGGAGGGCTCCTTTTTAGGGGATTTCAGACACCTCCTCGCAAAGGAAAATGGAATTATGTAAAGTATTTGTTACACTCTATGATGGTAGAAAAAGTTCCACCAGCTCTATCGGTCACGATGCTTTCCTTTGCGTTTGGGTGCTTGAATCTGCGGTCTATGCACAATTTTTATTAAACGATAAATTTTTATGATTTTATTATAAAAATACTACGTGTTAAGAAATTTAACGGTTTGAAAACACAGGAAAATAATGGAAAAAACTCTTTTTCGAATTTCAAATAAAAACCGAAAACCTGAAAATATATTGACAGGCCACCACTGTGTATATTAATATTATGTGATATATAAATAAAAATTATATAAACATATTTTTGCAATAGGTATATTAGACTGGGCCAAAAAAATCGACTATTTTTTTTTGGAAAGTATATCGAAAATATTGTTTGGGGTGACAAAAAAAAAATTATGGTGGAAGTTTGAGTCCATAATATTAATATTAAGAGCGAGTTTTTGTCTCAGAACTCCCAAATCATTGAGTTTAACAAAATTGACTTGGGAATATTTTTTGAAGAAAATTAATTGCTCTACAAAAAAGGTTTGATTGGAAATTGCCGTCAGATGAACCCGTTTCTTACAATCATGCCTTAAAAATTGGTATAGTTTTACAATTTGATCCTTTAACTTTGGAATTTTGTAATTCAAGTAAAAATCAGTACCCTGAAAAAAAACGATAAACATTCTTATGGGAAATTAAATGCTCCACAAAAAAATCTTTTATCATTTTTGCCTAAATTCACTCCATCAAAAGTTATTCAAGGTTAAATTTGAAGTCAAAACTAAATTTTAACCTTGAATAACTTTTGATTGAGTGAATTTAGCCAAAAATGTTAAGAGGCTTTTTTTGTAAAGCATTTGATTTCCCATAAGAATATTTATCGGTTTTTTATGGGTACTGATTTTTACATGAATTACAAAATTCCAATTTAAAAGATCAAAATGTAAAACTATACCAATTTTTAAGGCATGATTTTAAGGAAACGGTTCATCTGACGGAAAATTTCACTTTAACCTTTTTTGTAGAGCATTTAATTTTCTTAAAAAAATATTTTTAAGTCAATTTTGTTAAACTCAATGGTTTGGAAGTTCTGAGCCTAAAACTTACTGAGGAAAAAAAAATTAAAATTGCGATGATAGACCTCTTAATATTAATATTATGGACTCAAACTTTCACAATAATTTTTTTTGTCACTCCAAACCATATTTTCGATATACTTTTCAAAAAAAAAATAGTTGATTTTTTTGGCTCAGTCTATGGTATTTTATTAAGTTACTTTAAAGAAGAAACAAAATTGATTTTTTCGGTAATTTACCGAAATACGGAGGGAATTCGGTTGTGAATTGTTGTAAAACTTTTACAGTAACTTAACAGTAAAAGCAATACAAATGCATTTTTTATTAAAATAATTTGTAAATAATATTGCGCTGAGACACTGTCGGGTTTTTTTCATGAATAGGGGCTTATTTGAAAAGCATAAAACCAAATTTGATATTGATATTTTTTGTACAAAGAAATACGCAAAAATACATTTTTTCAGTTTTTTTACAATTTTTCCTATAATTTTTGTCAAAAGTGTTTTATGTTTATACAAATAAGTTTGTTTTTTGTTTTTTATAACTTTTTTGCAAATATTTCGCAAACTGTGCATTTTACGGTAAATTATTACGATAAACATTTTGTAGCCATATTAATTTTCTAAAATATAATAAATAGAGCTTTGTGCGACTAACAGGAGGCAACCAATCTACGAGCATTTGAACATATTTTCCCGGCTTTGCAAACTACATTTTAAATCGGCGCGCCGCATTTATTTGTACACCAGTACGACCAGTGATGATGGGACCATCCCTCTTGAGGTCGTCACAAGTTTTTAGCTTTACTCTTTTCTCAGCTTGGCCTGAATCTGATGAAATGTTCGAAAAGAATGATGTTTGGCCGGTGATTGTGTGGCAAATTAGCGAGATTGGATTTCATTTTCACAATTCGTGCACAAGAACAGCTTTAGCCGTAAATGATCTAGCGTTGTTTTATTAATAAGCAATTGCTTTCTTCTCCATATCTTAAAATAGTTTTCCCATTAGGGTTGTAACCTCATGAGGGTTAACAGGGTAAAACATTTTCGCTTTATGAAAAAGAAAATTACAAAAATTATCTAGATTATTTTTGATTGAAACTGTTTTCGTGGACGAATCGTGAAAATAAAATGTCAAAATAATTTCGTGATAGTGTACGAAACAATGCGGCGCAACGTGTGGCTGTCGAAAGGTCGGGTTAAAATGTTTTGCAGTATGAAAATTTTCTTGCAGGAAAATATGTTTTAACTTTAGATATATTGCCATGTCAGATTCAATATTGAATCTGACAAAGAAATACGTTCGATCTACCAACCATGGTTTCTTTAACAAGATACAGCGAATCTAAAAAAGATCCAGACCTACCACACTCCACTAAAGTCAAACGATCATAAACATAGTAGAATTAAATATATTTTAACGTTGATTAGACCTATAGGAAATACCGCAATAAAAAACAGCCCGGGACGCTTCCTTTGTTTATTATTTTTATATTAATTAATTTTGCTTTCTTACTTTTTATTGTGCAAAACTAAAAAGTAAAAATGTATTTTTGCGTATATATTTATAAGAAATGGTCAGGTGGTGCAATTTTGGTTTTCAGCTTTTGTGACATTGCCTTGACACGCAAGGTCAGGCCATTTTTCACCATGGTTTGACTGGACTATATTTGAAATAATAAAACGTAATACTATAAAAGCATGTCTGGTAATTTAAACACATTTTTGTAGTTCACACCAGAAGAATAAACTTTCCCAAAATTTCCGTTTTTTTCAAAATATTGAAAAATTATTTTTTTCGGGAAATCAAATTTTCCGAAAATTTTAAATCTTCACAAAGATTTTGAACATTTACAAATAAACTTAAACCTAAGAAAATATTTTCTTCACATATGTGTCTTACAATAATATTATCTAGTTATAAAAAAACCTTTTAAACTTAAACATAATTCATATTAATAAAATAAACTAAACTATGAATAAAGAAATCATGTATTTTAGCTTATACTTGGGCCATTCCACGCTTAACGAATAGGACATGTCGTGTTTTTATTTACAAAATAATATTGTTCTATTATATTACCAATGTCAAATTTTTATAAATAGTTCTAAACAAAAGCTGTTTAACAAGGTTTTTATTTGGCAAAATTAGGTATTGTGATTGACTGTTTAATTCCTTAAAAATTAATAATTTAAAGCGTAACAAAGCTATTACAAAGTCCCGTCCGTTACGCTTTAAATTATTAGTTTTTAAGGAATTAAACAGTCAACCACGATACCTTAGTTTGCCAAATAAAAACCTTGTTAAACAGCTTTAGTTTAGAACTATTTATAAAAATTTGACATTGGTAATATAATAGAACAATATTATTTTGTAAATAAAAACACGGCAACTGTCCTATCCTTTACGCGTGGAATGGCCCACTTATAATAATTGGAAACCTACCTTGTTTGCTAAACTAGTAACTTGACAACCAACATCTTCTAATAAACAACCCTCCTTTACCTAATTAATAAAAAATAAAAAGCAAAATAAAATATAAAATAATATAAAAATAAAAAGTATGTAAGAAGTAGAAATAAAATGGATATAAGTGCAGCTTGCCCTGTAAAGCAAAAATTAAGTTATAAAGGACAAACATTACTTAAAATTGCAGATACAGCATTTCAGCTTAACTGAGCAGCTGCACTTATACTCATTTTGTTCTAAATTGTTCTTAATTGATTGTAATAATTTTATCAAAATAATTTGAAAAACAAATAACAAAATAATAACCAGGTCTTATTTGCATGATAATAATTTTATCAAAATATTTTGAAAAACAAATAAAAAAATAATAACCAGGTCCAATTTGCATGATAAGTTATAATTAATGTTAAACCTGGTTCAAATAAAAAGAAAAAACACACCTTGTCCCCTACATGCGAGCTAATATCAACTACCTTCTGACTGGCAAGTCCTCCATATTTTACTGCATTTTCTGTTGCTTTACTGGCAATTTTTGTGGCAGATGATGATAAAAAAGACCAACCCTAAAATATGTATTCAAAATTTGTTTTTTATTTGGACAGTTAAATAAATTAGAATCTGTATCCACCCATTAAAAAGTTTTTAGCACAATGTTTTAATTATAAATATTGTGCTACATTAACCTAGTTTGAGTTAAAACCGATTTTTACACTAAATTAAAACACGTTTTTTGTAACTTTTATTTTTTTTGCAGCACTGTATTTATTTATTATTCAGTTTTTTAACAATTTTGTAAATTTAATAATTTTGTGTTCTTAAAACTTAAAATTTTTGCCCATTTTATTTTATGATTTCTTAAAAAAATGTATTTCTTCCTAGCAAACTAATATACTTACATTAGCTAAAGAAGACATTGCAGTGTCAACAAACTCTTGAGATTGACTTCTTGGTGGGGCCTCTTTAGTATACCCAAAACCGCTGTACTTTCCACCTTGGCTTGGAGGCAAATCACTGAAAAAATGTTATTATCAACTCAAAAAATTTAACAATTATTTTTACTCACTCTCTTCTAGATGAATTTTCCATTTGTCTTTTAGCAAAAAAGGCTTCTTTTTGGTCCTTAAACTCAGCAGAATTGTAGTTCTGATACCCTCCTTGATAACTGTCAGTTTGGTTATAGGATTGCTGATAAGAACTGTTGTTGGAATTGGAAGTGTTGGAATAATTATTACTACTTGAATTATAACTAGATTGGCCTATCAAACTCCCTGTATAATTTTGTGCAGGACTTTTCTTTTCATCCCAAGATTTACCCTGAGCAATAGTTGAAATCTAAAAAGGTTCAGTATAAGATTTTGTTGTTTTATTCTAATACATATATGTATATGTAGTTATAACTACCGTATATAAGTTTTAACAATAAAACAAGACATTTTAAAATAGGTGGTTCTTGCATTCAAATATTTACAAATTAAATCTATTGACCTCATACCTTATCTCTATACAGCGCGGCAGCTTTACTGTTGTATTTTTGCTGAATGGTCATATTATCTTCCCAATCTTGTTGGGCTTCGAAAAATACTCTTGCATTTCTGTTACCTCCGACTTTCATTTTTTCAAGTTCAATGTCTTTCCATTTGTCCATAGTCACTGAACGTACAAAGGATAAGTGAACTCCTAATCCTCGATGTTTTCCTGAGCATTCCAGGCAAATCCATATTCCATATGTTACTGATACCCACTGGGGGTTATGAGTGCCACACTCGAAACATTTCTAAAATAAATTGTCTCCTATTATAAGAACTTTAACTGAAAATATGTTACTTACATCATTTTCATTATGGGGTTTTAGTTCTTGTAAAACACGACGAGTTCTTGGACTTGCCATGTTTCAACAAAATAATCAATTAAACTATAAGTATAATTATAATATAAGCCTTAATTTACAAATAATAAATACTGAGGAATCTATTAATTAACTCAGCTGTCAGGATGACAGCTGGAAATGTGGACAAATCTCTCCATAAACGTCAAAAGAGATCTACCTGTTCAGTAATTATGGGATGCGTTCAGAGATATCTCTGAGAGATATTTAAAAATTAAAAAATCCTAGAGTGGTTATCGGAAACCTACTTGGGTGATTTATTCAATAAATTTTATTGAATTAAATACATTTGATATATGCAAGCATGCCTATGCACGATGCAAGGATTTGTAAAATCCTTGGCATCGATGCACGTTTTTTTCCTTGTGGCTGTGTAAAGCTCGCCTAACAAAGCAGTTTTCGTCTAAAGGAACCATAACCTGTAATGACTTCGGACTCGCGCAGTGTCGTAAGTTACTACTCGTTATTCTTGACAGATTTGTTATGGCAGATTCTATTTAATGTCGTAATTTTTTCCAATTTTCCTTATTGTAAATGAATGCAACAGATGCTTCGCGAGGTTTTAGGCGACGTATAATGATGCGTTATTTAGTTTTTTTAATTTAACTCATTGAACGGGTGACGTGCGAGGATTTTAAAGATCGAGCTATTTTTAGTTTTGTTGTGTAGGTATGAATTTGCTAAACAGGTCATGATAACAAAGAATTCGTAGAAATTTCCAATAAAATGAATTCGAGGCCCAAGTCCGTGTTCTGGGCCCTCTATGACCGGCCTTGCCAAATAAAATCAAACACCAGCCTTTTGTACAATATAACTAAAGGTAAGAGTTATCAAATCAAATTTAAAACACTCTGTATATTTATAATTTCAGACGATGAAAGCTTTGTGCAGCGTTTGGGCCTTCTAAAACGGCTCCCGATACATCAGGGCTGTGTCAATACAATCTGCTGGAATGATTCTGGTGAATATTTGTTATCTGGGTCCGATGATCAAAATTTGGTTATAACTAATGGACATACTTATGAAGTGAAGACCAAATACACAACTAGTCATCATGCAAATATATTTAGTGCTAAATTTTTGCCTTGTTCAGGGGATAAGAGGATTATTTCATGTTCAGGGGATGGGTGTATTTTGCACACAGGTAAATAATGTTGTTATGTTATGGTTATAAATACAAAGTGACTAGAAGTACACCGGGAGTACCGCCATTAAACGTACACTGGGTGGAAAAAAATCCTTATTTAGCATATTAAATTTTGTCAATTGTATAATATTAAATGGTCAATTTCGCGCTCAATGGGGCGGGGGGCCCAATGGGGCGGGGTCGGTTGTGTTGGGTTGTTGAGTTTGGGTTGGTTTGGGTAATTCATACTGACATTTAATTAATTTTGTTGTTAATTGTATTTCAATCACTTAATTAAATTTTAATTAATGTTTATACAACTTGAAAGTTAGCTTAATAATTACATAATTAATTTCAAGAGTTAACCAGCTGTTTACCAACTGTTATACAACTGGGCCTTAGTGTTCCAATTTAATCTCAACTAATAAATCCGAAATTTAACCATAATACCCCTATAATTTGGCCAAAACCCATTTTTATAAATATTCCCTTTTCTATATATAAATGTCAATCTTTTAAACTAAACAAAATAAAGGTTTAATTCTTTAACCTGCTTATATCATAAAACGATCCCTCCATAGCCCGAAATTGAAGACGCACACATTGATGCTTTCTGGTTGTCTCGAAATAAGCGCTACGCTTGATGTTGTATTATTTAGAAGTAAAGTGTTATTGTTTTACAATATTTTTACTGCAAAGTGTTTAAGGATTGTAATATTTTATTTAACATTACTGAGTCCTTAAAACAAATTACAGGTTAAGTAAAAAGGAAAAGGAACACATAGCATCTTCAACTAATATTTTTAAAAATTAATGTAAATTTAGCTAAGCTTTAAAAAAAATTGTCGGCATTTGTCCATAGTATGTTTCTTATTAAAGCAATGCTGTATCATTAAACAATTTTTTTTTGCAAAAAACAACTGCTAATAACTGCGATATTTTAATATATTAATGTTTTTTTCAGGGATGACCCGTAGACTTTCAAATCTACTTTACGCGGTTTGTCTACGCGTTATCTACATATTGTTTACATCCGCTTTTTCTATGTAGACTATGTAAACTATGTAGACAATGTAGACAACCAAAAATTTGAATATACATTTTTTAAATTTGGATTTTATTTAATTAAGCATATCTACAGTTTGCTTAACTTTAATTTATATAAAAAAAACAAAAATATCTTGGGTCTTTATGTTTGTCCTATTGTATATTAGTCTTTCAGAGGGGACTTTAAGCCCGCGGTCTGTTCCTACCCCTAACCCGCTCAAGCCATTCAGTTGGCTTCTGGGACTTCTTAGGAAGTAAGGGTAGAACTAAAAGAGCACTTTTGTATATTGTATGTCTTAAAAAATTATTAAAAATAAAAAATAGGTATTTTATATAAATACAAAGTTTATTTTATAAATACCCTTGTAATTAATTCTTAGTGTGTTTTATTAATATAAAAATGTGTTAAGACTATTCTTCCTTACTTTAATTTTTCATGTTAGTTTTGGCCAGAAAAACAGGGTCTAGAAACCATAGTGCATCAGCTGGTATGGAAACACGCATGCGCACAAACCTGATGTACGTTTAATGCCCGTACTCCCGGTGTACCTACTTCTAGTCACGGAGTTATAAATAACACTAAGAGCAAACCTTTAATTTAAAATATAAAAGTTTTGGTTTCTGTATATTTAAGTGATTTTGTGTGAAATTTGAGGTTTTGGTTTTAAAAAATTCAGATGTTTTCATTGTTACATTTTGTTTTTTAAATATTTTTAATTAAATAAGTAAATTAATAAAAAAAATATTACAAGAACTCTTACTCTTATTGATAAGAACAAGTTATACTAGTTATGTCTGGATCTTTTTATTATATTCATCAAATCATTTAATTTTTTTATTATTTTAAGATTATAACTTGTATAAATAGTAATATACCTACATGTATGCTGAGCTCACTTGATGTAATCATCCATTTCATGAAATGGATGTCCACTTTATGAAACGGATCTGCTTAGTGTATTCTAATTTAATTTCATCACGTGGATAGAATTTTTGTGCATTTTATGAAACAATAATAATAACTGATGTTGAAATAAGACAGGTTTAAAAAATGACATGTCATGTCAAAAATGACAGATGACAGGCAATATTTGAGATCATGTCATTTTTTGCATCCGTCATTGCATGGAGCCTACACAAGGAGCCCAAACTTAATAGGGGAAATTAACAAAACCTGCCCTCTAAATCACACAAATTAAGTCAATTGTCAATTATATTGAACTTGTTACTTACACTGTTAAAATAATCAATACAAACAATTACTTTAAGAATGATATACATATGAGAAGACAAAATAATTTGTATTAAACAATATTAAATATTATTAATTAGATACCTATTTCAAATGCTTGTTAAGGAAAAAACTCAATTAAGGCAGTTAAGTTAATATGATTTACAGTCTGTAAATTACAGATGTATATAAAATTAAAAACTTAAATCAATATTACTTGGCTATTATCTAAAGTGACCAGATTCTGTCAAAAAATAGGGGGACATTTAGTATGAATTTACCTTAATTACAAAATTGACACAATGATACAATGCAAATTATAAATTTTACCTTACTTAAATATTGTTGATTGTGTCATTTTTGTAATTAAGGTTAATTTACAAAGTTTTAAGTATTATCAATAGTATTATCAACAAACTGTTTATTTTTGAAATGTCAGAAAATTGATGTTTATCAGAAAGGTTGTCAAAAAATTTACCAGGTGGTAGAACTTTTTAAAGTTCCTTAATATTATATATACAGGGTGTTTATTAATTGATTTCTACTACTAAATATGCTCAATCTTTAAATGATTTTAACTTAAAATCATTTATAGATTAAGCCTATTCAGTATCAGCAATTTTTTTTAAGGAAAAATCGTTTAATATTGAAAAAATTCCTGTAATGAAAATTTTTAGAATTTCTTAGGAAATTCGTATTTCAAATATTTTCTGGTGGACGTTATTATAAAATAAAAATCTAGTTAAAGTTCTAGTGAAAAAGTAAAATAATTATAATTATTTAAGTAATAGATGCTATGATGTAAATATTAACGACCGTATCGTTAAGTCTGAATTAAGTACCTAATTATTTTGATTGACTAATTCTTGACTAAAGTCATGACTTATTCAACCCCGACTTTACACCCTGTATCTCAGAGGGAAAACGTTTAAGAAAATTGTTAATGAAAACATTTCCTTTTTTTAATTACATTTAGTTTTTTGCTGACCATTTATTTCCATAAAACCGCAGCATAAAGGGTTTATGGCATAAAGTTTATGCTGTGATAAAACGCCCAGCTAAAATAAAATACATTATAGGCATGTTCTAAAAATGTAGCTTTTTATTGTTAATATGTATGTTGTTATTTTGCAGATTTGGATAGACCGAAAGATAGTTACCACGACCAATTAACTTGTCATGGTGGAACAACAACCTACGAAGTGGTAACCATCCCGAATGATCCAAACACGTTTTTTAGTTGTGGGGAAGATGGGACTGTCCGTTGGTTTGATTTAAGAACAAAAACAAGGTTAGAACATTTTATACTTTTAACAGTGTTTTTAATAGATGTGGGCTATATTACCTATTAACTCTCCAGAATTAAACCGGAATAAAACTTACTTTATAGGTAATGTAAGTAAGAGTAGTCGTATCGGTTTTTATTTATTAATATACCTATACAACAAAATTTTATTCGGTATTCATTTGCCGAATAATACCTTAAAACAAGAAAACATTCTCGGCCATTTAGTTTGGATTTTGTTAAAGTATAATTTGAATAGGCATTATAGGTGTAACAGTATGTTTGATTATGTTTCTACAAATAAATTATATCTAGGGATTCCCCTTTTTACTAAACTGCAAGTAGCGGGGATGTGCGTAACGCATACTGTCCCAGTATTACTGGTTCAGTCCGAGTTCAACTCAGTGAGTTGTTTAGAAGTTAACAGGTGTATAACGTTAAAATATTACTACAAATTTTTTATCTAATTTATGTAAAATTACACCCACATGATACTGCATTAAAAACTGTAGTAAGTAATTACACCTTAATTACACTGCACAGTGACTTTAATAACACTGGTCAACAGCCATTTTGCCACAGGGTGGCCAACAACTTTTCTAGAGTAATTTGGGTGCGCTGGTACCAAAATGACCATTATTTTGCTCAATTAGCTCTCTTTCCTATAAAAATCATGTTTTTAACAAAATAATATCGTTTCTAAATTTTATCGCGAACAATTTTTATCCGATTTTAATGAAATTTACAAAATTTGGGGTTTCATTTATGTCCAAATTTGAAATTTGAACAAGGAATGCAGTCAACTAATTAAGGTAACAGCACTTTGAATTTAGAAAATTGCTAAATAAGGGTAAAAACATTTTTTAAATGTGTATAATTTATTTTTTATAGTTTAATTGGGACTCTGCTACATGATCCTAGCTTAAAGAGTAGGTATTTCTACTCAAATGGGACAAATTAATAGACATTGTAGACCTTTGAGACTAACATTTTTTTCAAATAAAAATTTTTCATTTGAGCTTTTATTTTTCAACCTTTTTTTGTTTTAACATATCTTTGTTGGTTTATATTTAGGACAAAATAGTAGATATTAACGGAGACCTCTTAGGTTTATGTAAAATAAAATATCGATAATTTGAAAAAAAAGCTTGAATGAAAAAAAAAAACTATTTTTTGAAAGAATCTGTGGAAAATAACACTTGTGTAAAAGTGGTATTTTCCACAAATATCCCATGGGTTTAAAACTAGGATCTAAATAGGATCTTGTTGATAGATTAAAAAATTGATTATTTAGTTTATTTTTCATGGAAATCTCATGAGCGAGCTTGTGACATAAAAAATAAAAAAATGGCGAATGAAAACAGATGTTAATTATTTTCTTCGAATCTGTGCTGTAAAAAAATCCCAAATTATTTGTGAATGTGTCTAATGCCTCACAAAATCGTATATTAAATCTTAAACTTTTTAAATATATCGTCATGTAATTTAAAACTTTATTATTACCCAGTTTATTCCCATAGTTGTCGCAAACAAAACTGCCAGGAAGACATTTTGATCAAAATACCGCCAGCCGTCACATCTTTGGCCATAAGTCCCACAGCTTCGCATCAATTAGCCTTAGGATGTGCAGACTCCACTGTTCGGTTGTACGATAGGAGGTTTTTAACTCACGGAGGAGGTAAGTTATACCGGATGATGATGAAAATATAAAGAAAAAGTTTCTAACAACTGTTAAAAAAGATACATGAATCAAATAATATTGTAAGTGACATTTTCCAGTTCCAGTTTTTATAATAATTATGATTAGTGGATAATAATTTTTAAATTTATAACTCAAAACTATGCCCATAAATAACTTAACCCAATTGGTCTAAATAATTTTTAAGAGCCTAGGCCATCGACCAATTAAAGATTGAATATTATTTTTTTAAATAGGTATAAACTAGTGATGCAGCAGACTGGCAACATTGACGGTTATTGGCCAAATGCGCGGGCCGGGAGGGGCGCTAAATTACTGTTTTTTAAATTTTGAATATTAATTTTATAAAAAACTATGTAAATATAAAAACAAGTATGTTTTGAAAGTTTCACGTAATTTATTAAATGTTGACAATTGTTTCGCTACACAGTAGCTTCTTCAGAATGTATTAAAACTAATACTATTGCAAAATTTATGAAACAAAAATATTGGTTTTCTAGATAATAATTTTCATGCTAAATCTACCTGTGTTACATAATATTAAAATTCAGACATTTCTAATGGGAAATACCTAATCTATTTATTTATTGTTAACAATTTTATTTAAGGGGGCAAAATTTGAAATGTGGGATTGTTTTATATAATGCTATTGTTGTATCTTAATTAAAATAGGTTAAACAGAGGTGAATTATTTAATTTAATTTAATATTCTCAATTGAAACAAATAATTCACCTCTGTTAAACCTATTTTAATTAAGATACAACAATAGCATTATATAAAACAATCACACATTTAAAATATTGCCCCCTTAAATAAAATTGTTAACAATAAATAGATTATGAATTTCTGAATGCCTTTTTTAATATTACGTAACACAGGTAGATTTAGCATGAAAATTATTACCTAGAAAACAAACATTTTAGTTATATAAATTTTGCACTAGTATTAGTTTTAATACATTCTGAAGAAGCTACTGTTTAGCGAAACAATTGTCAACATTTAATAAATTACGTGAAACTTTCAAAACAAAGTTGTTCTTATATTTACATAGTTAATAGGGAGTAAAGGTCGAAACAATTAATAATTTATAAAAAAACATAATTGATAAAGAATTGTTATTTTTTTATGGTAATTATACTTTTGCTTTAGAAAAAACCCGCTTCTGTTTCTGTTATGACAATTCTGTTGCATCACTAGTATAAGCTTCACTAGTAGGGTTGCCAATGGTCCAATGATAAAAAATACGGGATTTCTATGAAACAAGACAAATTTGATTAGGTTTTATTCGAACTCTAAAACTACAAATTTCTACTTTAAAGTAAATTTTACATAATATATTATATCAAAAACGATATGGGTCAAAAATAACGGAACGTCCCAGGAGATAGAGACAATCACTAGTACTGTTAACCTAATAATTATTGTATCGGAATATTTTGAAGATAAAAGATACGCTGTGAATAAGTATTATTCGATGTATCGATATTTTTCGACATTTTCGTATTTTGATAAAAGAAAGATGATGAAACTCTGTTATAAGGTATAATACATTTCTTTCAGATTCATTGGCGTTGCCTTTTTGTAATTTTGTCGCTCCCCATTTCGACCGTTACTATAGAATTACTTCATTGAGTTACAGTTTGGATGGACAAGACATGTTAGTCAGTTATTCTTCGGATTACCTTTATTTATTTAATGTACAAGTAAGTGAAATTCATTAAAAGTGTGTAACCTTCTAAACGAATATTTTGTTAGGAAAGTCACACTACGGAACTAAAAAAACCGGTAAAAAAAGTGTCCAAATGGAGCAAAGTCAGGGAGGCTAGCGGTCATAGAGCGAGATTTTCACCGCCACCTGTTAGGCGGCTCAGGTTGAGAGGCGATTGGTCGGACACCGGCCCTGACGCGCGACCTGAACGCGACGCACCTACCACAACAGGTGTAACCTCGATTATTCTTTAAAAAAAAAGAATCAAAACTACTTATCTTATTATTTTAGGTATGGGTCAGGCAAGACCCCAGTTGCAGGCGACTTTAATGCAGCGAATGACGGACGTTTTGTCTAGAATGTTGAATGATCCTAGAACGAGGGCGGCCCTGAGTGCCGGAGGTGAGGATTCTGTCGACCACGAAAATCGCGAAGCGCCGGAAATGATCGATCAAAACCAGAATCAAAATAGAGACGATAACGATGTCGATATGGAAGGGCAAGATCTAAACGAAAGGTAAGAAAATATGTATACATTACACCTTTTAAAATTTTAAAAGATTTTTTAAATATTTGTCAGATCTAGGCGGGGTCGGCATGAATTATTTCCGTCATTTAATTCGTGAATTAAATAAAATGCTTTTTTTGAACATGAATGAATTCAAACTTTTACTTATAATTTAATTGCTTCGGGAAACGGGTAAAAAATAATGTTTTACTCTATAAAAAGTATATAAAGTTACAATTTAATTATGATGGACTTGGATAGTAAAACAGTTTAGTTATACTTAACTTATTTATTAAAAGACATGTTGCTCCTTCAAGCTACAAATTGGTTCTGTTGAATATTACCATTAACCTATCGTCAGCAATTATTGCTATATATACTACTATATACTGCTACTATTATACTGCTTACATGATAAATAGTTAATAGTATTGCATTATTTAATTAGGTTTCCAATACACCTCCCTTGGGGAAGAAAAAAAAATCTCACATTTTTTTTTCTATTTAAATATATATAAAAAAAATGTTTTCTATAAAACCTAATGTAATTATTAATCTAAAATATCAACCTAACTAATTTTGCATTATAAACCTAACTAAGTTTGAACTAAATATAATTTTATTATATCTTTATGCACTTTTATTAATTTATTTTCTACTTTTATAATAATATTAGGACCTTGTTCTTTGACTACTTCGAAAGGTCCTTTATACAGGGTGTCCCAAAAGCAGAGATAAGCCCAAAAGTCAACGATATCCTTTGGAGACCAACTTATGACTAAGCAGAAAATCAAAATATGACCTTAGTTAAAAATCGTTCGTTTTTGAGATATAGTCATTTTTATAAATTTTGTAAAACTTGACACCTTAGATCAGTTTTTCGAGTGCCACAGTTACAAAATTCACTATTAATTTAATTTTTAATTGTAATTAATAGCAGTCCTATTCAGAGTTACGCAAAATAAAATATAATCTAAGAATATAGAATGTTGTAGTTGTGGCACTCGAAAAACTGATTTTATGTGTCAAGTTTCACAAAATTCATAAAAATGCCAATATCTTAAAAACTAATGATTTTTTACTAAGGTCATGTTTTGATATTCTGATTAGTCATGAGCTGACCTATTAGTCCTTCAAAGGATATCGTTTACTTTTGGGACACCCTGTATAATGGTTCCATCTTTTTACCAGATTCATTTTTTAACCATAACTTGATTTTCTTTATTATATTGTAACGTTTTTACCGCGTGTAGTGTGAATTAAAACACGCACTGGTTTATTAACGAACTAAGCGATTTATTTTTATAACTTAATTACACTTAAAACACTAAGAAACTATAAAACTAACTAAACACTTAACTACTAGTCTATTTATTTGCACTTATATTTTATTTATTTCTTCGCGAGTATCAAAGCTCAACTGACTGACTCTCCATGCTGCGCCGTTTATTATATATTCCGTGCCTACTTTCCCGAATATTCCAGCGAGCTCCACATAGCTCTAGATCGCTCGAGCGCTGACTTACCGGCGATGAGTCATCATTCCAAAATCCAGAGCCGTACTCGCTACAATATTTAATAATTTTTGATTTTAAATCTTAGTTAGCTTCTCTTTTTGTTTTTGAAATTAAAAGATTGGTTTTTGTATCATTCCATGCTCGCTGTAACCGATATTTTAGTTCTAAAGGGTAACCGTCGAAATTATAGATGAGATCTGATTGATTAATTGAGTCAGATGGTGATCTACAGGCTTTACCGGTGCCTTGATCTGTTACTATTTCTTTGGAATGCCGAATCGTAGTACAAAACTTTCAACAAACACTTTAGCAACGGTTTTAGCTTCTTTATTTGGTATTGGATATGCTTCTACAAATTTACTTAAATCACATTTAAGTGTTAAAATATATTTGTTGTCATTTAAATCTACTTCTAATCTGATGTCTCGCTTTTCTTTGTCCTCGTTTTGTGGTTGAAATTGAGTTCCGTTTTTTCTTTTCTAACAATTATCGTGCTGTTATTGTTCCCAGTTCTACCCATAACCCATTTGTGAGTGGTCGTTAAAGTATGCCTCTATATTGTGTTCATTTTCCATCTGGTGTTGTTTTTACTTTCCTCTCTCTCTTAGAATCACTCAAAAATGACTCGTTAATAGTGGATTTGGTTTAAATTTTCTTATAAAAAGTAAGAAATTGCATTTATATTTATTTTATACTGTTAGAACATTTGTTTATTTTAACTCGAGAAAGTCTCGTAGTTTGTTTATTTAAGGCAAATATTAGAAAATGGTTTGCTTACTTACTTAAGATTTATGTGTTTATTTATTTATTTATTTATTTATTAAATTGAAACTACAAATCAACTTGTAATAGCTGTTAACGTAGAGTAATCATTACAATAAAGAAAAAATAGATTTATAAATTGAATAACAGTATAATAATTATAAATTGTCCTTGATGTACTTTTTCAATGATTTTATAAATTTTTCATATTTATCCAAGGATTTAATGGAGTTTGGTAGATCATTGAAGATTTTAACACCCTGTTGTATTGTTGATCCAGAAGCCTTTTTGGTCCTAACTCTGACTGTTCTGAGGTTTTGTGCTCCTCTAGTTTCATAGTTGTGAAAATCCGAGTTTATGTTCAAGCTTGCACTTGTTTTAATGTCTTTGTTTTTTATCTTATATACTAATTTGCACAATTCGAAACTAATTAACTGTTTAATATTCATTACCGGAATTATTTTATAAAGGTCGTTAGTTGGTGTATCATACGGTAGATTAAAAATTGCTTTTAGCGCTTTATTTTGCAGTCTTTGCATTCGGTTTAGATTTCGTTGGGATGTATTTGACCATATTGCTATGAGATAACTTAAGACTGATTTAATATATGAGTTATATATAAGGAATCTGCAACTCTCCGTCAAATATTCATTTACACGTCTAAGCGCACCAACTAAGCCACTAAGTTTGTTATATATTTCACCAATATGTTCATTGAAAGTCAAGTTTTGATCAATTGTTAATCCAAGGTATTTATAGAAAGTCACTTTTTGAATGGGTACATTGTTTATTTTAAGATTCACTTTTGGGTTGTTTTTATTCTTTAAGCTAAACTGCATATATACAGTTTTTATTTCATTCACTATTAATCCATTTGAACATAGCCAATTATAAAACTTTTTTAAGTCTTTATTAATGATGTTTTATATTGTTTTCATATCCTCATGATAGTACAAAAGTGCTGTATCGTCTGCAAACATGTAGTGTTCTCCTAGTAAACCAGCTTTTGTTAGGCTTTCTACATATAATAGATACAGTATAGGGCCTAACACTGATCCCTGAGTTGTCACGTCCTATACGGCGGAGAGTACCTAATTTTAAGTCGAACTTGCTTTACTTTTAAGTCGACTAGCCTATGCATTCAGTATCTTTGGTCTATTTAATGTAGGGTTCGTTTACCCTGTTCAACTCTTTTAATGTTCTTGTTAATTTTTACGGATTTATCCACATAGGAAGGTATAAACACACCCGTAGGCTCGGTGAATTCTTATTTACGCAAATAGCAAAGTGCAAATATTAAAAACTTATATGAATATGGTTCCTTGTCCCCTCGTAATTGGTCTCTTCCAGGTTCCTGCCGCGGTAAACCACCTGTTCAGGTGGGTGGTTCCGTGGCTCCGACAGGTGGGGTGGCAATTCACTTCGCACTTTTACCCTTTTAGATATTTTGGTTTTAAAATACACTGATTATGCACTAAGTATACTTGTTTATAGTTCGGAGCGGAAAGACAAGCACGTCTCACCCGTAGAAGAGATACTAATAACTGTAAATAAATAAATAACGTAATAACACAGAAAAATAAATAAAATCATAAAAACTTATGATAATATACATTATGACATATTAAAATAGTTGGAATATGACCTTATACAATTTTTAAAAGTTGTGATATCACTTCATTGTTGTATATCCGGGGGTAGTTTATTAAATTCAAGCATACCTTTATTCATAGTAAAATTGGACATTTCTACTATTGAGTTGAAAATGGTTTATAATACGAATATTATAATTGTGGACATTACGCACATATTTAACATTATTAAGTTATCAGGTACTTAAAAATAAACAACATAACGTCAACATATATTTTTTTGTTTTACAGACAAAATATTTAATACATTTAACATGGTGTAGGTACATAAGTGTACAACGATTTAAATTTAAAATTACTCTTATAGCTCTATTCTGTATAATTTTTATTTCATTAACTATGTACCTAGGTAAATTATACAGAGTTTTAGGACACCCTGAATAAAGGGATTGAATAAAATAAAATATGCGGTACTGCTAAATTTTTATATCGTAATAGTTTTGTGTACAAGGGCAGATTTTTACCTATTCTTGTTATAAAAAAAATATTTGTTTAGTATGTAACTCGTTTTATAAACTTTTCTATATGCTCGTTTTATTAAACACTCGCTCGCAAGCGCGTCCCTAATTAAAACTATATACAGTGTGACCCATTTGTTTGCGACACCCCGTAAAATCTTTATTTATTGTGCAATTTTAACCAGATTTGTTTTAAAGTGTAGATAAACTGTATTTTTAGAGCAAAAACGCCATATTTTTACAAAATACAAGGCCTACTATGTTAAATTTTTAAGAATTCATATTAGCAATTTTTTTTAAACAAAATATAAGCACGGCATTGGATTCACCATTCCTCAAAACGTCCCTATACTAAATTTTATTGAAAAATTTTAAGTGGAAAAATGCACAATAATAACTACAAAAATTTATTCTGCCCTGTTAACCATGAAAAAAACATTGAAATATTACTATAAGTTTAATTTTCAATGTTTTTTTATGGATAACTTGACAGAATTTTTGTAGTTATTATTGTGAATTTTTCTTCTTAAAATTTTTCAATAAAATTTAGTAAAGGGTCGTTTTGAGGGGTGGTGAATCCAGTGCCGTGCTTAGATTTTGTTTAAAAAAATCCTTAATATGAATTATTAAAAATTTACTCTTAAAAACTGACATAGTAGGCTTTGTATTTTGTATAAATATGGCGTTTTTTGCTCCAAAAATATAGTTTATTAAGATCTACACTTTAAAACAAATCCGGTTAAAATCGCACAATAAATAAATATTTGACATGGGTGAGTCACAAACTGTACCAGTTTTATTCAGGCATTTTTTAATATTTCTTAGATCGTTTATAAAATTAACAAAACAGGTTAAAATAATTTTAGGATATTTAAAAAAATAATTTATGAGTAGGTATTAAAGGCTATAACTTGGCATTTAAAAAAAGGATTGAGCCTATTTAGAAAAGGAACAATTTACACTAATCTGTTTTTTAAGGTACGGCATTTTTTTTTTTAATATAATTGGAAAACAGGATTTATAGGTGTTAAAATAATTTTAAGATAGTTTTGTGGCATTTTAAAAGCAGTTTTAGATATTTTTAAGAAATTTTTAGAAAGGATTTGGACAATTCAGAATTTAGATAATTTAGGAAAATTTAAAATAGAAAAAAACTACAGACCTATAACTCTCCTGACAAACTTGGCCAAAAATTTCGAAAACATTTTATGCAACAGAATTACAGAAGCAATAGGACACACGATTCCTCGCTATCAGTTTGGGTTCCAGAAGAATAAGTCAACCATTCATCCTCTGACAATACTTATTAATAATATACAAACTTCACATTTGATGGGAAGAAAAACCACGGCACTGTTCCTAGACATCAGCAAGGCATTTGATAGCGTCTGGCATAAAGGGTTATTATACAAACTGCACCAGCTAAATTGCCCAAACAACATCCTAAAAATACTTATGAAATTTTTAGATAACCGGAGTCTGCAGGTATCAATAAACAATAAAACCTCAAGAAACTTCATAGCCAAACAGGGACTGCCCCAGGGTTCCCCTCTCTCCCCTCTGCTCTATAACCTTTATTGTGCCGACATCTACAATGAAGATCCCATGCTCTTTGACCAAGATAAATATGTACTTCAATACGCAGATGACACCGCTATAATTTGCCATAGTAAAAATCAAAAAACTGCCTCTGACCAACTCCAAGTTCTGTCAAATCAAATCTTGGCATGGTTTAACAAATGGAGACTAAAACCAAAACCACTAAAGTCTCAACTAATACACTTCCACCAAAACAAGATTAACCCTAATATAACAATTAAGATGTACAATGACATAATAGAGCCAAAATCTAACGTAAAATACTTGGGAATCACACTGGATAATAAAGTAAACTTTAATCTTCACTCTTCCCTGTCAAAGAAGAAAACACTAACAAGGGCCAGCCACTTTAGAGGACTTACATACAACAAAAAAGGCATCAATGATGAAACAAAAAAAAGAATATACACCTTAATATGCAGACCAATCCTGGAATATGGATGCATCTTACTTAATAATGCCCGGAAACCTCATCACTCCGAAAAATCTCCAAAATGAGACATCCAACCAATTCTCTACACAACCCTCCCAACCACCTTTTGTATGCTACCTACAATATTTTACCAATTATGGAAAGATTTATCAAATTATCTACAAACTTTATTAGCAAGGACGCTAACTACAACATTCTGAGCGAGTTGTGTTTGGAGGTACAGGGCAACAGAAAATTCAAGCACCCAGAGAAGACCATATGGGAACATCTTAAACAAACACGAGATAACATACTTATTAATTAATTTCAATTTCACGATTATATACTGTTTTTTTTTTGTTACATATATTCAAGATATGTTCACCGGCTGAAGGACCTCGGTCAATGGCCATTTGTAAGAAATTGTATTAACTTTTTTTTGCAATAAAGTTCATTTATTATTATTATTATTTAAAATAGATTTGGATTGGATTGGTTTTATTGGATTTTGAAAAACAGGTTTTATCAATTTTAGAACCAGCTTTAGATTTTATTTTTTTTTATTTTTAAAACAGTTCTAATTCATTTTGACAGTTTTGTAACAATTTTAATTTATGTATTCAATTATTTTTTTAGTTCTAAACATCATCATTGTATTTTTCAGTTCAAATCAAGTTTTCTCCGACTCCGAAATGTCTCCTTCCTCCTCGAACGTGCATCTGCCACGCTCGAATTCCGGTTCAAATTTGCACACGCACCTCTCCACGTTGCGCCATCTGCGCGAAGGTTTTATTGAACAGCACGGCTCCGAACCTTCGGTTAGTTTTCGCTACTCGCAGCAGAGCACTTCGAATTCCACCATCAGTTTAAGAGCAGGCGGGGAAATTAACGGGAATTACGACGATGGAGGGGAGGCTACTACCTCCGGTGAGGGGCAAATGCCGCTGGAAAGTCAGGATGTTGACTTACAGGAGTTTGAGGATGATATAAATGCGGTTTCGGAAAGAAATAAGACTGATGATAAGAGAGCAACTTTTGAGGCGGAAATGAAACAGAAGTATTTGGGACACAGAAATGCAAGGTAATATAAAGTAGTGGTACTATTTTGTACATTTTTTGTAGTATTATAAAAAGTTGGACAATGTCATCTTATGGACCAACTGCATAGTATTCAAAATATCCGGAAACATTAATTGCCTAAAAAAAACGGAAATTTTGGGAAAAATTATTCTTTTGAATTGTTTACCGAGCGTGGAATCATAGCATGATGAAAGTTTCATTAAGGGAGTAATTGCGATCCCACGCGAGGCAAACACTATAGTTTTTTGTGTAATTATCAATTAATTTTTAGAAAATTAAAAAAGTAACGTTTAATTAAAAACTGTCGTATACATTCCTAAAGTCGTTCCAATTAAGTTAGTACACCTATCTATAAATGCTTATTTTCTCTTAAAAATACACAATTTGGGTACCCGCAAAAAAACTTGTGTCAAAATTATATAAATCTAACGTTTAATTTAATTCTGACGTTTACGTTTACGTGGTAGCGGGAGGGAATGGAACATTTCTTTCCTGATCAGTGGGAAGGAATGAAAATATATACAGGGGAAGGAATAAGATTGTTCAGCGGGAGAAATGAATGTAATTTATTATTATTAATTGCGAATACAATCGGCGCATTATTAACCACTCGACAAAAAAGAGTTTTTCTTAACGCCGTGGCGACTTTCGCCACTGCTTGATTCGCAAAACTCGCATTTTCTCCACGTTGAGAAAAATACTGGCCTTAACTTGTGTAGAAAAGCTTTTTTAACGAATGGGAACTTTACATTCATTAAAAAAGATCCTTCTGCACTCGTTAAGGAATGTACTAGTATGTATTAATTGCTAGGCATGCTTTACACGGTGCTGTTCTGAGAGGTGATTTCTGGACTTTCTGTGAAACCTAATTTTTTTTTATATTCTTGTTAATTAGGTCATAACTAAAATTTTAAGAGCAAAATAAAAAAAATTTGACGGTTTGAATTGTTTTAATTGGCTGTTTATTAAAAATATTATGCACTCTTTTAATTATCCAATTAAAACTAGCGATTTAATTTAAATATTTAATATTTGCATAACTAAAAAAAAGGTTTTTACAATTTTTTTTATATATTTTACTGTTTTTTGCAATAAACGTTCAAACTTTTAATCTAACCTTTGACGTATACATTTATGTTCTCTTAATTAATATATCCTTAAAGGTTGCCATGAAACTTAGATCTATTAAAAATTTATTTGATGTTTGAATTGTCATTTTCAGTATACGTATTCTGTAATTTTTGTTTAGTTTTTTAAAGTGTTTTTTATAAACAAAAATGAAAAATTGTAGTAAAAGTTACGAAGAAATTCATGAAATTTAACTATGGACCGGTTTATTCATCTTTAGTAAAGTTTATCGGGCCGATAACTTTCATGTCTTGGCAATATCTAGTATCCAAAGAAATTATTCGTCAAATAAATCAAAAATGAATAAATCGGCCCTAAATAAAATTTGGCACCCTTAGAAATATTGTTTAATAAATGTATATAAAAGTTTGAACGTTTATTGCAACAAAACAGTAAAATATATAAAAAAAATTGTAAAAACCTTTTTTTAGTTATGCAAATATTAAATATTTAAATTAAATCGCTAGTTTTAATTGGATAATTGAAAGAGTGCATAATATTTTTAATAAACAGCCAATTAAAACAATTCAAACCGTCAATTTTTTTTTATTTTGCTCTTAAAATTTTAGTTATGACCTAATTAACAAAAATATAAAAAAAAATTATGTTTCACAGAAAGTCCAAAAATCACCTCCCAGAACAGCACCGTGTTATACTATTATGTTTATTACTATTAAATTTATAGTATTTAGTATTAGGGTTAACCCTTAGTAGTTAGGTTAAATAATATTACCAAGTTATTTTGATGAAAAACTACATTTAATCTATTTATCTATTTTGGTTTCATAATGACTTCATTATAACACCGCTTTTGGTTCTTTAATGAGGTACTTTATTCCACCCAAAATTTTGATTTTATAGGTTGGCTACTGGTAAAATACAATTTTGAATACCTATAGGTTATAATATTTTTATGATTTGTTTTCTAGTACTTACGAGACTTTTCGTGCAATAAATTTTGTTTAACACCAAAGAAAATCCTTTTTTCTTCTTTAACAGCCGCTTATTGTAAATACTTATTGTAAATTAACGACGCCATAGCGAAAGAATGTGATAATGTTTGAAAGGTTAATGACCTTTCAAACTTCAAACTGTGATACCAACTATGTAAAGTAAAATTCCACCAAATTAAATATAAGGTATAAAATTAATTTGTTTTATGAAATGTTTGCAAAATAGATAAAATAGCATAAAGAACTCATGTCATAAGACCTTTTGTCGCACTTGTCCATTATAAAACTCGCTCCTTCGTCGCTCGTTTTATAAATTGTCCGCGTGCGACAAAATGACGTCTTATGACATTAGTTCTTTAATATACTATTTTCATAATGACTTCATTGTAGCACCGCTTTCTGTGCTTTAATGAGGTACTTTACCCCACCCAAAATTTTGATTTTATAGGTTGGCTACTTTAAATAGCATACTTGTAAAATAACATTTTGCATATTTGTTATAATATTTTTAGTACTTACGAGAGTTTTCTGGCAATAAATTTTGTTTATCACCAAAGAAAATCCTTTTTTTTTCTTTAACATTAACAGCCGCTTATTGTAAATAAGTAAATTAAGGACGCCATGGTGAATCGATTTTGACATTAACCTTTTAAACTAATGAATGTGATACCAACTATCTAAAGTAAAATTCGACCAAATTAAATATAAGGTACCTATAACATTATTTTTTTATAGAATTTTTGCAAAATAGATAAAATAGCATAAAGAACTCATAAGACCTTTTGTCGCACTCGTCAATTACAAATTACAAATAAATTGTCCTCGTGCGACAAAATGACGTCTTATGACATTAGTTCTTTAATATACTATTACCACACTGAAGAATTGGCGGGGCAATGTAATTCACCAGAGAATTTCTTCTAAATTCTAAAGACTAAAAATAATTTACAATAACCTTTATCCTACCAAAAAGTAAGCCACTGATCGACTAGGAACTTTGGGCTAATCTGGTTGCCTAATTTAATTTATTATGTTATGGTTGGTAGCAACCAGCGTTTCCAGATTCTGTCAAAAAAGTTGCCAAATTTTGTTTACATTTAGCTTAATTACAAAAATGACAAAATTAACAATGCAAATTGTTAATTTGGCGTTTTTATTAATTGTTTTTTACCTATGTCATTTTTGTAATGAAAGTAAATTCAAACAAAATCTGACAACTTTTATGACAAAATCTAGTGCATTTCTTTCAAATTGTAAATATCTTAACTAAGGAAAGTGCTTTTGGATTTATTTACACAAATTGAATGTTTAAAGTTTAATCTGTGAACTTGTCCTAATTTCATCTAAGTAAACAGAAAGGAAAAAAACGATGAAAAAATTAGTTTTGTGGTGATGGAGTTTTTAAAATAGGTACTAAATTTTCAAATCATTGCTTAAGCTAATAGCTGGATGAGTAAATAAATACAAAAGGGTATTAAAGCTTTAAGGGCTTGATGAGTAAATAAATACAAAAGTGTATTAGAGCTTTAAGGGCACCCTGTAGTTTTTGTTATGTAAATTAAGAATATGCAACCCACGGTGCGGTAGTTTGACGATTTAAATCAACTTTAAATTAACCCATTTCTCTTTCTATACATAGATTCTATGTGACGTAAGGATGATTTTGACCAAAAATTAAATAAATCTATCGAACACTTTTTCTTATTAAGCAAAAACCCCGTATGTTGGACCCTTACCTTGCATTCACTAAATATTTACTCATATTATATTCATTTTTTTAATTATATTTTGTTCAATATATGTTAAAACCTCGTTTAAAACCATCTGCAAAATATTATTTATTAAATTTAATAATAAAAAAACTGTATATTCAACTAAAGAAGTATACTTCCTTGTAAATAAAGAAAAATGTATAATTGTCCAAAGTTTTATTTTTAGATACATAATATTTTATTCAATAGCCCAATAAAATATTTATTGAACATTATTTATGAGCAGTTTATTAATTTCTCTGATAAAAGAAACTCGTATGGAGAGAAGTTCAATCCTAGACATATTTTTACACGTGCGTTAAAATGATAAAAATACAAGGGGGCTGCTCCATTCCAAAACACAGTATACAACATTTTTTCAGAATTTTTTTTTTATATTTTTGCATATACTGTATTTGTTTGTTACTGCAAACTCTGCATCACTGGTTCGGTACTTTTGGGTTTTGAAATAATTAGTTTTTAACTCAAACTATACAAGGTGTCCCTAAACTTAGTGGCATAAATTTAGGAGCAGATTAAGCAAGTTAAAATATGAAGAAAATCTAAATAAATTTTTTCTAATTACGTATGTTTAAAAGATACAGGGTGATAAAGTGTTACTTATCATATCAGTTTTTTTAATATAACTTCTACTGTGGTAGACTTGGAAAGGTGATATTTTGCGAACAGTCACTTACTATCAAAACACATATTTACACATAATTACAATTGTTCGAGTGAACACAGTGTCGTAGAAACAGGGGTTGCTTAAGCTTATTGTCCCATACAAACTTTAAGGTTAGTGTTTTATACCATTTGATGCAATTTTTCAATTACTCAGTTCGGCTACTATTAAAAAGGTGTACCTCTCAAACTTCGATAAAATAAACCGTTTGCGAGATATTCGAGATTACAATAATTGTTATACAGGGTGTTCCGAAATTAGTGCACCATACTTTAACAGCATATTCCACGTGCAAAAATAAGAAAAAAGGTCCCTATAAATATAGATCGAGAAATGCCTCCTAAGGGAGCTACAGCCCCCGAAAAGGGAGCCCCTGAATATGGTTTTTATCTATTATTTATAAAAAAGTAGAAACACCTTGTCACTTACTACATGAAACTGTCATCTGTCTTGAATTATTCTATTTTTTTCTAAACATGGCAGTCGTATTCCAAGGACCACGCGAGTCCATTTCTATGGTTGTGATTTAATTGTGAATTTTTATGCAATGTAAAATAATTTTCAAATCGATTTTAAGCGAAAACGGTGTATGTTAACGAAGTTCAACAAGATGACCTTTTTTATGTGCAAAACTCCAAAATTTTATAATCTGACATCAAATTCTGGTACAAGATACGTACAAAAAAGTTAAGGTGGTTTTAACCCCACTTCCTATCAATCTGACCCAAACCTCATGAAATTTTTTAAATTGTTATTGTTACGTCTTATTGGTCATACAAAGTTTAATTAATTCCCTAAATTTCACTTCTCTATCTTTAACGGTTTTAGAGATATTAAATAAAAACCATCTTCAGGGGCTTTCTTTTTGGGGGCTGTAGCTCCCTTAAGAGGCATTTCTTGACCTATGTTTATAGGGACTTTTTTTCTTATTTTTGCACGTAGAATCTGCTGTTAAAGTATGGTGCACTAATTTCAGGACACCCTGTATTGCATTAAAGGACTAAAAGGTATATGATAAACTACTATTTTTTTTAATGTGACGGTCAGGGCAAAAAGTCTCGAGGCTCATGGAGTGCCCTTTTTAGTTTTTTCAATTGAAAAATAAAATTTGTTATCATATACCTTTTAATCCATTTAAATAATGCGATATAACAATTATTGTAATCTCGAATATCTCGGAAACGGTTTATTTTATCGAAGTTTGAGAGGTACACCTTTTTAATGGTAGACGAACTAAGTATTCGAAAAATTCAAATCAAATGTTATAAAAACCTAACCTCAAAGTTTGTATGGGAAGATAAGCTTAAAGCAACCCCCGTTTCTACGACACTGTGTTCACTCAAACAATTGTAATTATGTGTGAATATGTGTTTTAGTAGTAAGTGACTGTTCGCAAAATATCACCTTTCCAAGACTACCATAGTAGAAGTTATATTAAAAAAACTGATATGATAAGTAACACTTTATCACCCTGTATCTTGGAAACATTAGTAATTAGGAAAAATATTTATTTAGGTTTTTGTCTTATTTTGACTTGCTCAATCTTTTCCTAAATTTATGCCAATAAGTTTAGGGACACCTTGTATATTGAAAATATTGTCTTTTTATAAACTGTTTAATTGACAAAGCATCGTGCTTACATCTTAAGCGCTTTGTTACCAATTGCCGCCCCTTTGGTCCCGCCCATCGCTTCCACACACACTTGTCTGTTTTAGTTTCTTTGAGGTAGATGGCGCAAGTAATTTTAATTTAAAATGTGGCGTAAACATTATTAAAACGCACCTTATAACCCGGCCTATTTGTAATATCAAAAGAATTTACTAAATACCCTACAGAGGCCAAATAAAAAAACTAAAACGTTTTTCTTACAATTTTGTTTTTTACACATACTGTGTTTTAGAATGAAGCAGCCGAAGGGATTATTAATTTAAATAAAAAATATATGCATGAATAAAAGGATTTTATAGGCGGCAATGCAACATAGTAGGCTTAGCCTCAGGGCTGGATGTTCCCGTGGACGAGTTTTTGTTCGTGCCGCACATGACGTCACTTGATGAGTAGTTTCCGTGCGAATACACGAATAATAGTAATATTATCAAAAAAAATAAAGAAATATCTGGACATAGTGCGTTTTTATTAAACTTAACATTGAACAAAGTGTTATAATATGGATAATACATGCTTTCAGTCCTTGATAACATTTAGGGCTGTTGTTTAAGAGTTGGTGTTTTAAATTAAACTTATAGTCACTATCCAGAAAATATTTAGAGGAAACAGAAGCGGTCTTAACGTTAATATTGTCTATTCTTTTTGTGGCATTTAACCACTGTTTGCAAAAATCAAAGTTTTTCGGGACTCTATGAAATTTAATGTTTTTATTTAAAGGGTTTTTCTTGGACTGGTTGTCCGAATTGCATCTAAATATGCCACACCGCATTTTAATAAATGCAAATGGCACGACACAAACTAAAACACAAACAAAACAAGTTAACGCAAAACAAAAACAATAATAAACAAAAAAAAACAGGTTAACACAACGCAATAACAATATTTTGAACACTGAAAGGTAATTCGAACCTTACCGAACGCAAGAACAACAGCATCACAAAAACAAGAATTTTAGCAGCAGATAATTAAAACGCACGTTAAAGATTTAAAAATACTCAACAAGTGACGTATTTAAGCCCCGCCCAACATGCGCACCATCCTATCTTAAGGTGTATGTATCTTGGCTTTGCCTAAATGTCAAGTCCGAAAAAAAAACAAAAGTATGGTTAACTGTCATTTTAGGGCTTAAGCTAAGTGACTTATTGCTTTAAATAAAATACAGTTTTTGAAGGGCCCAAAATACGGGGTTTTTTATTAATAAGAAAAGTGCTCGATAGATTTTTTTAATTTTTGGTTAAAATCATCCTTGTGTCATATAGAATGGATGTATAGAAAGAGAAATGAGTTAATTTAAAGTTGATTTAAACCGGCAAACCACCGCACCGTGAACCACGATACAAATAATTTGTATCAGGATGACAAGATTGGTACGAGTTCCTGCTATTAGTCAATATCATTCAACGCTATCTCTAGAGATGGGAATCGGAAAGTTTCCATTTTAAGGAAACTTTCCGTTTTGGAAAGTTTCCAATTGGGAATTTATTTTCATTTTGAAAGTTTCTTTTAAGCTACCGGAAACATTCCTTGGAAACATTCCTTGGAAACTTTCCTTGTTTTTTTCATTTAAAAGTCGATTGTTTAACCGCTAATTTTCGTTAAGGCCATGATACAAGGCCAAGAAACTTTGAATAAGAATTTAATGTGTGTTAATTTAAAGCAGAAGAAGAAGTATAAATAATGTAAGTTATGTTACATAACCTCAATGAAGCCGGATTATTCAGCATCATCACAAAAAACTAAACTAAAATACAGCAATAACACTTTTATTTACCTGTTTGGTTTTCAAAAAATCCTATTTTGTGTTTTTTACTTTTGCTATTTTTTTATGTGCAATGGTAGTCACTACTAGTCAGAAATGTTAATTTTATTTTGCCTGTAGTTTTTTCTTTCATATTTTATCAGTCAGAACTGCAATACTATGTTTGGTATCTTTTACTTTTCAATATTCCTATATATTAGTTACTTTGTCCCTTTTAATTTTTTTTACGTAATAACTAGGATTTACTAGCAGTAAATTTCTAATAGTAAACATTTTATTTTTATTTTGTAGGTTTCAGTATACAATAGGAATATTCCAAAGTAAAAGATACTACAAATCACAATCCACAATGTGTGGATTGTGCTAAAAATAGTATTGCAGTTAAATTCTTATAAACATTTTTTTTTATTTTTTTTTCTTAATAAAATTTGACAAAAAGATAATGTGTTATATATTTTTGCAAATCTCTGGCATAAAAAAAATATTTTCGCAATAAAAAATATTTTTTTGAAACTTTCGGAAAATTTCGGGAATTTTCGATGGAAAGTTTCCGGGAATTTTCGTCAAATGGGAATTTTCCCATCTCTAGCTATCTCTATCTTGAAATCCAAAACGCACTTGTTATACAATATACAAAACTGCAGGACCACCATTGACATTTGACGTTTCCTCAGAACCATGATCAAAGAGGCTACGTTCTGGGGCAACGACTACGTGATGTCGGGGTCGGACTGCGGCCACGTGTTCATCTGGAACCGGCACACGGCCGAACTGAAGATGCTCCTCCAAGCCGACCAGCACGTCGTCAATTGCTTGCAGCCGCATCCGACGTTGCCGTTGCTGGCCACCAGCGGCATCGACAATGACGTGAAGTTGTGGGCGCCCGTGCTGGACGAGAACAATTTCGACAAGGAGGCCGCCGAAGTGGTAAGGAGTCGGAATGTTTGTGTTTTTTTGAAGAATGAGTACGATTTTTACTCTCTTATGGCTTTGTAATGTTAGGTTTTTAGTTTAAACATTTAAACTAAAAAAGGACTAAGAGCAATTTAAGTTATTTTTTTATATATTTTGCAAGATTCTATTAAAAATTTAAAAATCAATGTATGTATGTTTTCAAAGATTAAATAAGTTTACAAAATTTGATTTTTTATTTTTATTCCATATTTTTAACTTTTTTACTACAAATATTAAACAAAAATTGAAGAAAATAACAATTACATTTATTAAAAAAAATCTACACAAAATCAGAAAAATAATTTTAAAGGAAAAATATATATACAGGGTGTTTCAAAAATTTGAAGAAAAAAGTTCAAATAAACGTCGGGAAAGGTCGGGAAATGCTTAGTTTTCAAAATAGGGTGTTAAACATTGCTTTTTTAATATTTTCATATCCTTTGCCCGATTTTGTTAAAATTTGGCAACGTTAAGTCCAGTGGCGTCCCAAGAGGCACCTTAACGAATATTAATGACAATCTTGTTTCTACAGAAAAAATAAAAACCATATTACCATATATATACAGTCCCAAAATTGGCGAACTAAGGGGTAAAGATGAATAATTCAGGAAATATTCCTCTTAAAATTCAAACAATTTTTTCGAATTCGCAAAATTGCGTTTTTTAACTATTAATGCTCTATTGTAAGAGCCCCACAATAAAGAAGTGATTCCCTCATTGGTGGCTTTAAAAATCCTGTAATTTTGCGAATTAGAAAATATTGTAATGGAATTGGAATTTCAAGAGGGATCCACCTTTACCCTTAGGGGTGCACCCTCTATAAATATAGGATGTTCTTTACTAATTCCACGCCAAACGATAAAGTTAAACTATACAGGGTGTCCCTAAAATGACAGAAGGTATACAAAACATGTTTTTAAAGTAGCAACAAGGTGGCAGTTTTCTGGGATACCGGGAAATGTCAGGGAATTTATTTTGCCCAGGAAAAGATACAGTCCCTAGCCAATTTATTAGACTTGTCAAGACTCTTAATAAGAATTCATTTTAAACTACCAAAAGTGATTTTATTAATAGAATCGTGTTAAAAACGCTTTCTAGGAGAAACATTTTTACTAAAAAGTTGAAATAATAAAATACCTAAAATACGTATAAAGTTATAAAGTGCTCTTTTAGTTCCACCCTTACATCCAAACTAAGATGTCCCATAAGCCAACTGAATGGCTTGTGCGGGTTAGGGGTAGGAACGGACCGACGGCTTAAAGTCCCCTCCGAAGGACTATATATATATATATATATATATATATATATATATAATAATACCTATAGTTTTTAAATTACATTTTAGTCGCACAACATGGTTCGATAATATCTCCTATGTATTTTCATTATTAATAATAATTTATTATGTATTATTATATATTTAATATATATATATTATATATATATATATATATATTATATTTTAATTTATTATGTATTATTATATATGGCGGTGTATAATAATTTGACTTTTGAACTGCATATTTATAAAGTCTTTCTACATAGGCTTATGAGTGTTATAATATGAAAATTGCTAAACGTTTGAAAAAAATTTTTTGCAATAAACTTTGATAACAAGATGTTTAAATACCGTAAACACGGGTGGCTTTAGCTCACTTTCAAACTTAAGCTTAAAATTTTTGTGGTTTTAACAATCATAAACATTAAATTTTGTATACCAAAATTTGAGTCTTGAGTTGCTCTTTCATAATAACTATGTTATAATATTACATAGGGCTGAGTTTCAAAAATAAAAATTAAAAACTGGGTGTGCAAAGTTACCCCCTGGTTGCGGGTTACTTTGTCTCACAGTGTATTTTCCGTATAAAATGAATTCAATATTATATTTTATTTTTATTAGACATTATATTTTATTTTTATTAGACACGTGTTAACAGCGACATATATCTATTGCAAGGGATTACCGATAAAAAAAAATAAATCGACCTGTAGTTAACCAAAGATCATCATTCCAATGGATTGCGCATAATATAGAAATTGTAACGCGTGTATTTCTAAGAGTTTTGCACTGATGCGATATATACAATTTTAAAGTGTAATAAATCTCATTTATTTCTTTAAAACACTGATTTTTTTGTAATATAAACTCAATTGAATCGCTCAATTGACAGGTTTAGACGAACAAATTATAGATGTTAATTTTATCGAGCGCGAAAAGATTTTTCATAAATGGGTTAGTCACCCGCGGGGTGCAAAGTCACCCGTGTTTACGGTACTTAATATGTGTTCTGCATGTTGATTAATGCAAACATTGAAACAAGTATCCAGATTTTTATATATAGCAAAAACTTTAGTTAATGACTCCACTTCTTTTTTTGCACTTTGCTTCTTACTCCTTCATATGTCAAACATCAAACCTGACAAAATGTCGGAAACTCGATAATTTCAATATAAGTACAGAATTATTAAATGCTTATAAAAAAATAGTATATACAACACGGCGGAGAAAGCATATTAACTGCCTCGCTCAGATCTGCAGCCTCGGCTAAGGCCTCGACAGCGAACACTGATCTCGGCTTTAAATAAGCGCTTTCTCAGCATGGTTAGATAATGTACAACTTTTTTTAATATTAATATGATATTATGGTATAAAAATGTGTTTTATTATCTTAACGCGATTTTATTTATAAAAATCACTTTTGTCATTTAAAAATGCATTTTTGTGAGAAGATATCGACTATTTTACAAATTTCCAAATGGAAGAAAATTTGTGTGTAAGTCTAACAAATTGGCCAGGGACTAAAGATTATTGTCTAGAGTCTATTTATGATGTCTGGCTATAACAATGCGGAATTTCCTGGAATATGTCTAGAACGCGAAACTGTTTCTCTAGCCTCTAAAAAAATAAACCAATTAAATTCAACTTTGGTAAACCGAAATTGAATTATAAATTTATTATTTTATTGTTTTAATACCATTTATTTAAGGGATTAAACAAATCTAACTAAATCGGTTAAAATTTGTTAAAAGTAACAAAGTTTTGATTTTTTGATACATCTGTTTTTAGATGTGTTGTATTTCAGCTTGTTGAGCAAATACCTATCGTTGCCGTTGCTTAATTTTCGAGACACCCTGTATATATTTTTAAATGATTTTAATGAAGACAAAATTATATAGGGTGATCACCATTACACTTTGGCAGATGAAACTTCATAATTTCTAACGTCAAATTACATTTGGAGGTTATAGCAATATGTCATCTTGAAGTAATTAATTTAAGATGACATATTGCTATAACCTCCAAATGTAATTTGTAACTCTCAAAATACCAGGGTGGCTCAATGTTATCTTTTTTTACAATACTAAGTCTTCTTGAATGTCTAAAAAATGACTTATTACAATGACAACTGAAAGTAATAAATGTTTGACTTTACCGACTATTTTTTTATAGTTAATCAAGATGACCTCCAAATGTAACTTGACGTTGGTAATTATGCCCTGATGACAACTAAAATTGTACAACTTTAAAGTTCTGTAATTTTTAACCAAGTCGAATTGAGTTAAAGTTTTTTAACACTTTATTCTCAAATTGATTTGAAGTTTCATCTGCCAAACTTTGATGGGGAGCTAATAAATCACCCTGTATTTCTACAGGGCACACCAAGTATCCTTTTATGTAAGGGTATCTTTTTTTATTTGAAGAGATATAAGGTTGGTTAAATTAGTCCAAAGTTGTGTAATTACATGTATATTAAAATGGCATATAAAAATTGGATAAAAAATCAGCGGATCTCAAAATTAAAAAAAAAATACTGAAAACCTGTCAAAACCAGAAATCGTTATAACTTCGTTATTTTGAAAAAAATTACTCTTACATGTAAATATAAACATTTATCTGCATTTTCATTCAATTTGTGTTTATTTGCCTACTGGATTTTGAGATACCACCATCTTTGGATTTCCCTCTGGCCGCCATATTGAAATTATGCATGATTAGATAAAAAAATCTAGGAATTCAACAAAGTACATAAGTTATGGCGGCCATTATAAAAACAAAAGATGGTGATGGTACCTAACTAAAAACATAGTAGCATGGAAATTGGATGAAAATGTAGATTAATGTGTACAATAACAAAGTTATAACAATTTTTGGTATTGAGAGGTTTTTATTTGTTATCAAATTTTTTGAAAACCGCCGGATTTTTTTCCAATTTATAAATTTAACCGACCTTGTAGCTCTTCAAATAAAAAAATACACATAGAAGAATACTTGGTGGACCCTGTATACTCTTTTAATTTTTTACATAATAAACTGATTTTTGTAAAATAACAAAAAAAACTGTTTCAGTTGATAAATCGCAACGCCATAATGCTGGAAGAGACCAGGGACACCATAACAGTGCCGGCCGCTTTTATGATTCGCATGTTGGCATGCCTGAACCAGATTCGCAGGGGCGTGCGAGGGGGCAGGTCCTCCTCCCGCTTCCAGGGACAAAACGACTGACTCAACCAATCAGCTAACTAAACTAACGAACATTTATTTATTATTATCATTACCTACCTACATAATATTATATATTTTATTGTTTCCTTCTTTCCTAGTAAATCAATTATTTTACAGTCATTTGATTGCATAAATTATCGTTTATTATTGATATGTGAACATTAGGGTGATTCAAAAAAAAACATTTTTTTGTTTTTTCTCGGAACCAAGCTCAAAAGTTTCGCATAGGTATAAAAATGATCCTGTGAAGAGATGAGCTCTTAATTCCAAAATTAAGATGCGTCGCATCGCACTTTTCGATTTTCCATAAGAATAACATAGGAAAAATTATTTTTCTTCTAATTTTTATAACTAACGAAGGATAGGTCGTAAAGTTCCATAATTGCAGGGTTATTCGTTTTTCTAATTTTTTTGGCGAATCAACCTGAATCATGCAAAAATATTGCTCCTAATAACATTTTTTTTAATTTTCTGAAATTCTAAGATTATCTCAATCAAATTGTAACAGTTTTTCCAACTTCCTGCTACTTTTGGCTGAAATCGTTTAAAAATATTTCCACCATAAATTTTGGAGCTTTTCGAGATCGTAATACCGACGGTTATGTTTTTTCGAATTTCAACCCAGCAAACACACTAGTCCGGCTATGCAATGGCACATTATAATGGGCCATTGTATTATGTAATGGCCCAGTAAAGTGCCGTTGCATGGCCGGAGTAGTGTGTATGCTGGGAAGAGGTCAAAAACAATATTTCGATTCGTTTTTAGCCCTTTGAACTCAAAAATCTAGGAGTTTTTTCAAAAAAACGGCCAAATTGACGGTTAATTTCACTTATAAATTATAACCTAGTTAACTTACTGAAAAATGACTTTGGACCTTTTTGTAGAGCGTTCAATTCTCTACAAAAATATGTCAAGAACTTTCGTTAGTTACAAAAATCAGAGAAAAAAATAATTTGTCCATCTTAATTTTGAAATTAAGAGGTCATCTCTTCACAGGGTCATTTTTATATATATACGAAACTTTTGTGTTTGGTTCCGAGAAAAAAAAAGAAGTTTTTTTTTAATCACCCTAGTGAACATCTATGGCATTGCATAGATTATATGGCTCGGCGGTACGAGCTTCCTGGGAAATTAAGCGTAACGCGTCATGTAGATGTAACGAATACGTGTGCGTGCAATAACACTGGTCTACAAAACATTTTTTGTTTCCCAGAGGGGAGCTAACAACTTCTCTAGTATAAATTGGTAGCGCTGATTCCAAAAATGACCATCATTTTGCTCTATTATTCTTTTTTAAGATTTTTTGAAAAAAAACGTTTTTTCCATATGCAAACATTCAAATTCGTATATAAATGCTCATATATGCTGGAGCATTTATAAACAATGAAATATAAATTTCATAAAAAAATTATTTAAAAAAAAATTCCAACAAAATAGAGGTACGTAAACTAAGGTTCATTTAAATAAATACCTATATATTGTAAAGTTTATATAAAAACACATTTACACATTTACTGTACAGTACAAAAAATAACATTTTGTTGGCGCCAAATTCAAATATCGAGCACTTTGGTAAATGCTCGATCATTTATTTATAAGCGCTCGAGAATTTATGAGCAATTATGAGCGCTTTTGAAAGTGCTCATCCTTCTCTACTTTAACCATAGATCATTGGTCATTTATAGGGTTTTAAAGTATCCGTTTTTCCCAGGCATTGGAATACAGAAAAAAACCTAAATTGAATTGACTTGAATTAATTTGAGTCTTGTTTTGCATAAAGAAGTCCATTGAAAATATCCAATTACAAAATAATGAATTAAAATTATAATTTTATAAATTGAAGTGTCAAAAAGAAAAGGAAAGTTATGTTAATACAGCACCGAATATGTTCTTTTTGCGGCCCGGTAGAAAAAAAGAAAATCTTACTAAATTGAAATAAAAGAAATAATCATTATATTCATCATAATATATGATTATAATCAGCGTCGAAAATTCACTTTTTTCTCGATTCAATGTAAGGATATCCGTAAAAATTTGGAAATTTTCAGAAAAATTGACTTTTGCATTACCTTTAGAATAAAATGAAAAAAATGCAATTCATCTAAAAAATTTCCTAATTTTACTAAAACAATAAATTATACACATTCATAAAGTAGATTCCTTAAAAAAACTATTTTAGCGAAATAAAATCGCTTTTTTGCAAAAATTCGACCATTTTCAAAGTTCAAAGTGCTGTTTTTGGTCCGATTTAATGAAAATTATAAAATTGTGTAACTTTAAAAGGCCTTTTAAATCTATACATTTCGGTTTATTAGTTTCTGTGTAGTCGGCTGGTTCATTTTCGAGATATTTGAGAAAAACTTTTTTTAATTTAATTTCATCTTAAATATAAATTTTGACACGCGCGAAACATTAATTGAAACTTGGAAAAACTAAGTGTATAATTTAATTTTTTTAGTGAAATAAGGACTTAAAGCTTCATGACCAATGATTAAAAAAATATATATACAAATTTAAATGTTTACAATGTTACAATATCTTGAAAACAAATGCCAATAGCGAAATTTTAGTTATTTTTTTAAATCATCGCACCCTGAAAATGTTGTTGTAATCAATATTAAGTAGAGTGGGTACGCGTAAACGTGACGTAGAGGGAATCATATTTGCATGTGTAAAAGTATAGTATAGTGGCTGTGCATAAGAGAGATAGAAATAAATCAATTCTATATGGCGGCCGCTGTTAGATGAATTGCCCATTTCTTCATACCCTCATGAATTGTTTTCAAATTTTCATATTTTTCACACTAAACTCGTACCAGCCAAGATATTTTCATATCCTTCGTGAGTACAATGCTGCCGTCCTAAGCAAAAAGGCAGTCTCCAATTTTTCTCATTTTCGGTTTTCCTCTTTCTATAGGTTCCTTTGCTTATTATACCTCACAAAGCTAGAAAGCTTAAGTGGTTTGGTAAACTTTAAAAATTGTAGCAACTCAACTTCCCAAATAACATTTTAAAGTCATAGTGAGAGCACAATGTCAAGCGTCAGTAATTGCCATCAGTACGCCTGAGGCTACGAAGTCAGTGAGACCACAGTAAGATCACGTGTGCACTTTTTGCTCATGCGTAAATAGATTTTGGGAGGCTTAAAATCCTATTTGCGCTTGTCTTTCATAATTTCTGAGAGTTTCCGACTGTTGTATAAACTTGTATCCTCTTGTATATACTTTTATACTCTTGTATACAGGGTGTCCCAAAAGTCAACGATATCCTTTGACCAATAGGTCAGCTCATGACTAATCAGAATATAAAAACATGACCTTGGTAAAAAATCATTAGTTTTTAAGATATTGGCATTTTTATGAATTTTGTGAAACTTTTTTTCGAATGCACAACTACAACATTCTTTATTCTTAGATTATATTTTATTTTGCGTAACCCTGAATAGGACTGCTATTAATTACAATTTAAAATTTATAGTAGATTTTGTAGCTGTGGCACTCTAAAAACTGATCTAAGGAGTCAAGTTTTACAAAATTCATAAAAATGACTATATCTCAAAAACTAACGATTTTTTTCTAAGGTCATATTTTGATTTTCTGCTTAGTCATGAGTTGGTCTATTTATTTAATATGCATGAGGACAACAAATATTAATTATATATACATTAGGGTGGCCCAAAAAAAAAGAATATTTTTTTTCTTCTCGTCTCTTGTGAAAATATGTTGGTTTGTCATGTTTTAAGAGCCCTGTAAAAAGATCAGCACCATTAAAAATTTTTTAGGGGTCGCTCAAGATTTTTAAAAATTACCAAAATCGTCAAAAATTGGATTTTTTTTTTATTTTAATTTTTTTTCTCGTTCCGGTATTATTTTTTAATTTAAAAATAATAATGATTCTGAAAATTTCAAATCGATATTTTAATTTCTAAAGGTCGCTCAAGATTTTTTTAACTTTCAAAGTAGAGTATTTTGAATGTTTTCGAGCGACCTCTGAATATAAATATCAACGAACTTTTAGCGACCTTTAGAAATCAAAATATTGATTTGAAATTTACAAAATTTTTATTATTTTCAACCTAAAAAATAATATCGAGACGAGAAAAAGAATTAAAATAAAACAAAAATTCAATTTTTGACGATTTTGAAATTTTTTAAAAATCTTGAGCGACCCCTACAAAATTTTTAATCGAGCTGATATTTTGAAAGGGCTCTTAAAACATGACAAACCAACATATTTTCACAAGAGACGAGAAGAAAAAAATATTATTTTTTTTGGGCCACCCTAATATACATATATGTATCTCTGGGCAATATTTGTAACTCAAAAATACTTCATTATTTTGAATGTATGCTTATTTGCTCGCACTTTTGCCCAGTATTGGGCACGTGTTTTAAAATATTTTGAGCTCACAGTAAAAATTTGCACGTGTAATTCCACTATGACTTTAAAATGTTCTTTGGATTATTTTATGAAAATACCCTCCAGCGTGAACTAACTTTAGGCGCTCAATATGTAATCTCGGTTGTAAAATCACAAAGTGATATCACGTTGTGTATACCGGACCTATGACAGTCATGTCCATGCGTATTTGCTTTCACGCGCGAATATCACGCCATGAGCAAAACGTGAAATCCCGATTGATATTTGGGTTTTTATTGAATATTAAAAGGTAGTAAGAACCTTTTACAAGCCTTAACTAATATTTGTGGAAATACTGCCTTCTTGCTTAGAACGGCAGAATGGCACTTAACTATTTTTTCACAATTTATTTTTAGTCATATATTAGAGTGTTAAAAAAAATACAGGTATAAATACGCCTATTTTCTTCTTTTTTAAGAATAACAGAATATTTTAGCCAACGATGCGTGGTACAGAAAATATACAGACATATTTTTTAAGGGAATTAAATGTTCTACAAAAAAGGTCTCCTGTCAAAATTCCATAAAGCCATCTGTCTAAAAGTTATAGTCTGTCAAAAGTTAAGTTACTTAATTTGATCTACATTTTTAAATATTACAGCGGAATTATCAGTCTTATCAAAGAGGTGTACATGAATTTTAATAATTATATAAATTAAGAGCTAATTTTTGTGTACAAATTTTCCATTTTTGTAAAAATAGTTCTTATTTTAGGCTCTATTAAAAGTAAAATGTATGCTTTACAAAAAAATAATGTTCACTTTTTTGATAAGATTGGTCAGATTATAGGTAACTTCATTTTGAACAGACTGTAACTTTGATAGAATTGACTTAAAATTAATAAAATTTTGGCAAAAAAAAGAAGTTCATGTTTACTTTTTTGTATAAATGGTCAACTACACTTTTGACAGACTGTAACTTTAATAGAGTTCGCTTTATAAAATTTTGGCAAGACACCTTTTTTGTAGAGCATTTAATTCCATTTAATTTATGTCCGTAGATTGTCTGTACGACGCATCGTAGGATAAAATCAGAAGAAACAAAACATTCTTTCCTACATTATTCTTATAAAGAATAAAGAAGCGCCATGCTAATATTAAGATCTCAAAAATTAACAGGCAAATTTTTAGGACTAAACTTTTAAACCTGATTGGAGGGAGAAAAATATGTATTTTTTTAACACCCTATTATATATATACAGGGCGCACTTTCTCTATGCATATTTTAGACCATTCATTTAATTATTGAAGTGAAAAATTCTAATTGTATTTTTAAAGTTGTTAAAAATTTGTTTTTTTGCTGGGCCATTTTAAACACCCTGTATACAAAAGGAATATAATATTTATACAAATTTTAAGTCAATAATTTGCAAATAAAATTTGGAATAAATGGATTGTTGTAAATACTAATGTAAAATCTATTTATATTTTATAGCTGATTATTTTTGCGCTTTTCGGCCTGGTATAACATTTTAAAAATGTTTAATTAATACTAAAATAATAATAGTGTATAAAAATTGGCTGTGAATTTTATTTAAAATAACAGAAAATTTTAAATAAAATACTCAAATAGATTAACAAACAGGGTTCAAAGACATTTAAAAAGACAGTTTTGTTATGTAAATATGTACACATATAGTTCCTAAATTATTAAAGTACTGTATAAAAAATACGATTAATGTAGTGAAATACTTTTTTTAGAATGTTATACAGCAGGCATTTTTTTATCTATTGACTGAATCAGAGCTGGGTAGATTTTAAATGCAGATATAACAAATTGTAAAATGTGGGGTTTTTATTGAAATTTGCGACTACTTTCCATATAAAATGATCACTATAAAAAGCAATAAACAAATTAATCACGGCATTCTTCATCGCGCCTAGAGTGCTGTGGAGAACGCCGTGCTCTGATTGGTTTATTGCTTTTTATAGAAAACATGTTCTATAGAAAGTAAAGTGGGTATTTATTAAGATATCTTCCCAACTCTGACTGATAGGAATGTTTATCGTTTTATATTTGATAATTGTAAAACTTTCGCCTAGTTAATTTTAATTTAGAAAAATGTGAGCTCACTTATTTGACATTTTAGGTTTGTTCTTGCAAAGAGTCACGGACAATTTACCGACAGTTTGTGATTTTCTTTAAATGCGCATGTGGTGCTTTAAATGGACAGTTTTGGGTTTTAGCTGGAACAGTAGTAGAGGGATAATAAACGTACCCTTCAAAATTATTTAATCAATTTATTTTCTGGATTAAAATCACCAGAAAAAGTTGTACCTATCCTTAAGGATTTGTAATTACGTTCTTTAGAAATATCGCTTAAAGTAACAAATTTTGTTTACTATTTTGTGCAAATTCTTACAAAATATTTACACAAAATATATGTAAATTTATTTTATTACTCTCATATAACTATATCTTGTGAACCTTTGAATTTATTATTTTATTCCATTTTTCATCATCCTTGCGGTGAAGATGTCACTGTGGTTCTCAACCACTGTTAAAATGTTTAAAACAAATTTAAAAATATGCTTTTTTTATTACTAATTATTATAGATACGCCATTTTAGTTTAGCAGGGCAGAATTGTGCACATAAGCTACCTTAATAAAGTAAAAATCTTAGTTTAAAATAAAGAATAATATTATCCCTTATGGTCTACTAAAATACCTGGCTCTCACCCACGAGACTAAAGTTTTTTTTCAAATCCAAGCCGAACCAAACAAAAAGGGTTCAGACGCGCGATAACAAACGAGTTATCGCGTTCTTATTGGTTGCTTCTGAGGTTGTGACTCGGATTGTGTTTACATTTAGTTCGTGTTGAATAAAAATATACTTTAGGGTTCCATTACCGTTACCAGAATTTTTTTTTTAAATTTAAATTCCCAAAAATACTCTATTTTAGAAAAAAAAATATTTTATTTCCACCTTCTTAGTAAATGACATTTTATAGTGTAATTTTGTTGTTTTTGTATCCAAGTAAACGATACATTATGGGAACAGACCTGTAATATTTTACGGGCTTGTATAAAAGACCTGTAAAGTTTTACAGGCTTGTAGAAAAGCAATTTATGAAATTAAATGTCACATTTTACATATTAATTAAAATTTTAAAATTAAAAATCGTTATCTAAAGGTGAAAATAAAAGATTGTACGTGTCACGCTTTGCAATTAATCTTTACTAGGCCCGTAAAGGTTCATTTACAAAGCTTGACACGTAAATAACTATTATGGTTAGATTAACTTAATACATTATGGCAATACTTTTTTATATTTTCTTCTCTGAAATAATTTGTTTATTTCTAAATTCATAATTATTTAAAAAATTTCGAGACAAAACAATTTTTGTACAAATAAGCGGACACCGCACGATATAAATTTTATGCACTGGTTCTATGATTGTTGGTTCTGCTGCCGGTTTTAGACAGTTTGGGACTCTTGTAGAAACAAACCTTTTAAGATTAGTGAAAATGAATGAAAATCTTTTCTTCTAGCTATATAAGCAATAATTTTAAATATTTATGTAAAGCGCTTAGCAATATTATTTTTATTGTTTAGCTCTCTAGTTTTTTGCTCGTATTGGAATGAAATTTGGGATGAAAAAGCAAATAATTTTTAATGTGATATAAATATGAGTCGAATAAAGGGGTATATTAATGTTGGTAGTATTATTAATGAATAGTAATATTTAAATATATCCAAGGGTGTTATTTTACTTATACTCTAAGTAAGTTCGTCTAATGGTGCTGCCTGGTGGCGGAATTGAGTAATTACACTAGTTTACAGCCATTTTGCCCACCATGTCCCACTATGATTTTCTTGTGTAGTTTGGCTCACTAAACGCGAAAATCACATTTAAAATTTAAATTTAAAATACTTAAAGGAAAAAAATAATCTGCTGTTGATAAAAATCAATGGATAAATGGCGAAGTTATGAATTTTAAAGTGGAAGAGCAAAATTCAGTTTTTCGAGAATTTTTACGTTTTTTCTTCATTTTATTTTTATTTTAAACATTAAATATTGAAATTAAATTATACATTGAATATTAAACAATAAATATTAAACATTGAAGATATTGAAGGTTTTATTTTGTTTTAATAAGAATAGGTTTAAAAAAATTCTGGCTCCTTTATTTTTTGTTGCTTTCGTATTCCGTTTCTCGTATAGGGCCCTCATAATGAGCCCATATCAGAAACCGTGATACCGCCGCTCCATAGCCTTTATTTGCTGGTGAAAACGTTCTCCATGCTCATCACTTACGTCACCCAGATTATCCGTGTTATTTACGCACTCGAACTCTCTACTTCTTTTACTTATTTTACACTTTTTATTAACTAAATAAAACCATGATAAAAATACTTTGTTGAAATATCAAAAAATATCATTAAAATTTCACTATGCCAACACGAGAATTAAAAGAATTCCCTTTTGCGGAGTCATGTCAAATTTAAATTTTGAATAATGTTTTCAGTGAAAAAAGTTCGTAAAAAATTCCAATCATGCACTCTACTTAGGTTCTAATTAAAGAATAAACATATTACAAAATAAAAGAACAAAATAAAAAAAAATCGTCAAAAAGCTGAATATTGGTCTTCCACTAAAAAATTCAAACTGAAGTTATATGTTTATTTTAAATTTTTTAAGTTACTAAAATCGCTAGCGTCAAAATACTTATCTGATATCAAAAGTATGTAAAGAAAGTTTTAGAGGGCTCAAAAAACCTTCAATTTAAGGGCTTGTTTGGCCAAGTCGATCAATTATATTTCAAGCTATACTCAAAAACGTCAAAACACCTCCGAAAATTGAAAAAAAAAAGAATTGAAAAATTAGAATGGGATATGGTGGGCAGAATTTTTTTTTGATTTTGTAAACTAGTGGTATAAGCACTTAGCGGCAAAGAAGTACCATTAAGGAGTAAATAAAACAACAAATCCATCTATGTATTTTTATTTAAGACAGCTCTTAAAGGAGGTTCTATAATTTAAATAACATACAATATGATGTAATAATATAACGCTGAAACAATTAAATTAAAGCACCGTAACTTAAAAAAAGAGATTAAATCTCAGTACCTAATGATAAATTAAAACAGCCATTGTTTTCAAATGTACATAATATGACTAAGAAATAAAAAGAATATAATTTATATAATTTATATGCTACATCAATTAGTATTTTACATGTAAAGCAAATTATTTTGCAGATTTATTTAATTTTTTTGGGTAGACTACGTTTTGGTGTAGGTATCAACAAAGTGCAGAAATAGGATACAATATACAATGGGCTAATACCTTTTTTAACATGAACATCATTTTTCATTTCAAAACATGCATTTGTTTTCAATATTTCTGGCAACTGTCCGAGAACAGCAACACTTACAACTGATTTAAATTTAACACGGTTTTTACGTTTATACTTTAAAGAGATAAGGTGTATACGTTAAAAAATTAATAAGCCCATTTTTACCGCAAACTTTGCGGTAAAAAATATTTAATGTATGTTTTTTAAACCTTTTCACATTAAAATTTCTTTCTAATTTTTATAATATTACATCGGTTGAAATAAATCGTGGGCAGTTGACGATCATTTTAAAATTCCGTGAAAAATCAAAAACCCTGTCTTTTCATAAGTAATTTTTTTCCAATTATCATTTTTTTTAATTAGGTAGGTATAAAAGATGCAAGGTATATTTGTGGTCAAATTACTTCATCCATTCAATGAAATATCCATTAAATAATATGTTTTTTGACCATATCAAATGTTTTCGCTTAGCATTCTTGAAAATAAAGCTTGTAGATTTTGTTTAGTTAAGGATGATTGTTCTGAATATTTCATTAATTACATGCTAGTTTTTCAATATTTAGTTTAGTAGAGGATCACAATGGTTTTTTTTATCAAACACATAAGTAATGAGTATTTCATACAGTAGTATTTTCATAGTTAATAGTTAATGAAGGTTTTCTTTTATTACTCTTAAATAATTAATTACTTTTTAATTTCCGGTGGTATCTTTACCGTCTTCTTTGCGAGTCATGTGACCCCTGAACGAGGCCTGAATCTTGACTGCAGCCTTGTTTAATTCCGGATCAGTTAGGTCGATGTCCAATTCTTCCTCCTCCAGTTTCTAAAATTAAAAATTTAGTCTACCCTTTGTTTGGCATTATAGTAGAGTATATGGACTCCATATAACCTATCTTTATACTAAAGATAGGAGAGAGTTGATTTAAAATAACGATTTTGTACATTTCCCGTACGGTACCTGATCTTTGGATTTTGCAGAGCTGTTCCCTTCATCTCCATTGTTTTTTCCGTCATCTTGTTGTTTTCTGGACATGTGACCTCTAAAGGAAGCCTGGATTTTCGTGGCAGCGTGACAGAGCTCTAAAACAATACAAATAACAAAATAAACATTTAAGAAATTTTCAAAATTTAAATTAATAGTCCTCTTAACTTATTTCCGACTTAACTTCTAAGCAAAAGGATACATAAAACAACCCAAAAGTAATAAATAATACGAAAATGCCAAATACTAAATTCACATAAAAATGAGGATCTGGATTTTGTATATTTTAACAATCTTTAACTAAATGCGTTTTTTTAGTCAACTAAATTTCATTCATTGGAAATATTGAAATATATATTATCGGAATCTCGAAAAATGCCAACCCTGAAAAACTTGAGTGACACACCACCACACCCCTCCATTGCTACGTCCCTGATTACTTGTCATTAATCCTTAATGCCAAGAAATTAATGTTCAAGCTTTTTAATAAAAAATAAATGTGTAATTACAGTTCCAAAGTTTTCTGTTTAATATTTTTAAAAAGGTGACAACACCTTTATCCACTTATTTCTTCACTTTATATCTTAGAAATGGGAAGTAATTTACATATATTCATAACAACTTTTAATCAACATAATTTCTTCTACACATCTTTTGTACTATACATAAAAAATAAATATATCAAAAACACAATGCTTCTATTCTCCTTCACACAATACCATTTATACTTGGCATGTTTTTTATCTAGCAAAGCTAAATATAAAAAATTTCGACCTATCCAGGAATTGAGAAAATATTCCGTGAGAAAAAATAGGAGGGAACCCCTTAAAGAAAATTGCCAGTTGGCACGCAATGGGAATTAAATTTGTAAAGAGCCTTGTATTGCAAATTTAAAAATATTGCTTTTGTGTGTAAAAAGAGAAATTAGAAAATTTCGCTATTAATTTATTTGTAAAAATTAGTTTTCACTTAAAGTAAAATAAAATAGTATACCTACCTATTATTTTGTAAATAAAACTTTTAAAAGTTTTATTTGCAAATTATATTTACAATTTGTTGATTACTAAAAATAGTTATAAAATACAAATCCAAACACATACAGTATTGGCCATAATTATTGCAACTCTAAAAATCTAACTCTAAAACGCCTTTATTAATCTTTATAAAATTTTGGATAAAAATACTTCAAGTTATATGTCAGTATTTAATAATAAAAAACCGTTCGAAAAATAACTTTTAGGGAAATTTTATTAAATAAAAGGACTTTAATAATATTTTCTCGAAAAACCCTCGAACACGTAAACTGAGATATAAGTTGTAGTATTTTATCCAAAATTTCATAAAGATTAATAAAGGCGTTTTAGAGTTAGATTTTTTTTACAGTTGTTGCAATTATTATGGCCAATACTGTATGTTTTGATAATATAAACTTAATTAAGAAATAATTATTTAAATAATAAAGAAATTAATTAAAGCTGTCTAAAACACTTAATAAAATCTAATAAAGACCTATATTAATTAATTTATTTAAGTTTATATTACACTGTAGGAAGGTGAAGATATCACATCTAAACGCTCGGACACGTAAACTTAATTTTTGGTCCTTGATTACAAATCCGTGCTTGGTTTTCAAAGATATTTAATTTTCAGGTTTTGGAGCATCCCATTGGAAAACACCCTGTTTAAATTAAAAAAAAATCAATTGGGGTGGACCCCCCATCAGTTCCAAATTTAAAAAAAAAAATTCTTGCAAAGTTTAATTAAATTGATCAAAAGGAACACGTGTCCTTGAGAGTTTTTTTTAGATAATATAGGAAAGTCAAAATGAAATAAAAAGCATAGGAATTTTGGCACAAGAGGTGAAATATTTTATTTTACAAATTATGATATACCAGTACACAATGTGTCCCCGGATCGGATTGCCAATAGGAAAAACTTTTTTAGACCTGATAAAGCTAAATCCAGAACGGATTTGGAATCTACGACCAAAAATGTTTACGAGCGTTTATCTGTGATATTTCAAGAGTTGAAAATTTACCTACAGTGTTATTATAGTGTATGATTTTTATTTTATTCCTATTTTTAAGAATCAACAAATTGTAAAGTCTGAAAAATGGCGAATGCACCGGGATATTAGTTTACTCATTAGAATAATTCTTATTAAATTAAATTAATTAAAATTAAATTAAATTATTTCTTATAAAAACATAAAATTATACTATATTTTATTTTTACAAAATTTAGATAATGATAATCGATAATTTTTAATCCCACACCAAAATATTAATTTTAGTCCTACTTGTATTTTGATTTTTTCATCGAAATATCAGGACATTTTTATTTAAATTTTCTATAACTTGTCGGCATTTTTCGCTACTGAAATTTACATAGTTTCGATTTATAGATGATTAGATGCTGAATGAAAGTAATAATAATAAGTAAGTAATAAAATGGTATTTTTTGCATTTCACAGCAAAACGGTTAAACGGCCATTTCAAGCGCGCGAAACGCACGAATTACAAACCTGTTTTTATAAAAAAAATTGCAGATTTTTTTTATTTAATGTATAGCCTAATAGTAGAAGAATATATTTGACAATTTTGATGCAAAAATAATATATAATAAATTACCTACAATTTTTTTTATAAAAACAGTTTTGTGATTGAAATGGCCGTAAAGTTAAACGTAAAAAATAAAGGAAGACTTTTATAAGAAATTTTATTTCCTACAAAAAAGATTTACGTATTATTGCAATAAAATGCATAGTATAAAAGATATAGAGCATTTAATAAATTTTACTGTCGAATAAAGCCCAGAAAAACAATTTTAAGAACAATTAAAACATTTTTTATTTTTTAATTGTTGTTATTTGTTAAAATTGTTTTGCTGGGCTTTATTGCTTAGTATAATGAATATTTTTATTATACGTTTTTCGTAGGAAATTAAATTTCGTATAATAGTATATTATTTGGGTCGTTTTAAAAAAAACACCCGCCTTCCGCTGTCCGTAAGTTTGAATTCCAATAACTTTGTTAAAAATTATCGGATCTTATTGATTTAAAAACCAAGTGAAAACCTAACAAGCCCTTAGTAAACTCTTTCAGAAAATGTTTGTTTAGTTATTTCAGAATAATTTTTTTTTAATTTTGAAACTTGTGAAACACACATTTTCGCATGTCCCATTAGCGTTTTATAAAACTTACATACCTGTTTTTTTTTTAATATTGAATAGCCAGAACTTGGTGTTGCTTTATAGCAATCCATAATTAGTTAATACAGTAAACAATTTATATATAAAATAATTAATTTTAATCTACTTTTTTAAATTTGACTCATGTCCCAGACATTTTTTACGTCCGTCGCGTTACCGATAGAATATTAAAAAAAAACATATATATGGCAACTTTTTTGGTACTCACGTGATCAACAAATGATGTTCGGACGTACACATTACCCAGCTGAATTTATTTATTCAATCAGGAAGAAGATATCGGTTGAAACAGGTGCGGGTAACGCGAATGTAATAATTGTTTGTCCGCTAAGTTACTCAAAAAAATAATAAAAATAAGGTAAGAAAAAGTATTATTTTTCATGTTTATGTTTATTTTAGGACACTAAAGCTCATTGAGAGTAATTAATGACTATAATGTCTTATTATTATTTTTTAAATATGGTTTTACAAAACTTTGTCCACTGCGTTACCGAGTCCACTATGTTACCTTAGGTAACGCAATAGAATTTATAAATAAATATAAAAAACCAAGAACTTGGTTTTTTGAATTTTTTACATAAATTTTGAGGTTATGTAAAAAAATTGTAATTACAAAAGTTGTAGATCCTTTTATTACCTACAACTTTGCCATTTAACTTTTTTCCATAGGACTTGTAGTTTTGCCGGAAATCGAGATAAACCATTTTTTACCCTTAAAACCCCCCCCTCCCACTTCCCGAAGTCAGATCGCCCGTAATTTATTTTTCCTTTCATTTTTATTATATTCTTCTCCTTTTCCAATGGGTTTCATCCTACTGTTATTTTTTTTGGTTTCAAAAATTATCGACCCTGGTCTAAAAATCGTAACACCCTATATAGTTTCTTTTTTACGTTATCTGATTAAGTCCTTTGTGTACCCCTGTCCGTTGTGATACCAATGTCTATTTCGTTACTTTTTTTAGTTTTTGTTAAAAAAAATACTTAAAATGATTTTTATACACTATCACTTGGTAATAAGTTTTATAAATTAGAGTTTAATTCACTAATACAGTGACTAAAAGAAAATATTAATGGTATTGTTTTTTTAACAAAGAATCTGAATGGTTTCTTTTAAAAAGTAACTTAACGAACATACATATTTAAAAAAAAAGCATACAATTTTTAATAAAAAATAAAATAAAAAATTGGAGTCAAAAGTTTGTGAACTAAGTACATTTTATTTCAAATTATTTTTATAACAACTTTTTTTACTGAATTAAATTTTGGATTTCAAATTGGTAACACAGTGGAGATATACAAAAGCTAACTAAACACATTTTTCTGAAAAAAACGTAAACAAAATTAAAAAGTGCACTGCCTGTCTTAAATGTAAGTAAACAAAACTCTAAACATTTATAAAAATCCAACCAAAAATCAATTTAAGCAAAAAAAATATTTTGATCTTCATTTTCCTGAAAGCGGGTTTTTCTTGAAAATGACCCATTTATCAAGTTTGATAAACTCCATTTTAGTCCATTTTGCGAGCTAGTGTTTAATTAAATGAGTATCTAGAAAAGTTTATAAACGAGTTTCATACTATACTTTTTCTACGACAAATACTTAATATTATCTAAAAATTATTGAAATTAATTATTCTTATACAGCGACATCTATTAAACAATAGAGTAATCATTCTTGGGAATCTGTATTACCGGCGCGCCGGTGAAAATGTCAAATTTGTATGTGTAAATCGAAATTTATCCCTTAAAGGCGAGATAATTAATAAGGCGCTGGGGAATGGTGCGATAATAATTATTAAGGAGGTTAGGAAAATTTACGAAAAATAATATAAATAATAAATTAAACATAATATTACTTTTGAATTCTGTATTACTTTTGAATTCTCTA